GGTTCCCCTCTCCAGTTTAAAGCATAAACATTAAGCCAAGAAACCTAGGACCAAGTCTTGAATCACCCATGCCTTATTTGTCAGTTTCTAGGCTGTTGTCATAAATCAGTACCTTGCAACAAGTGAGATTTCACCCAATTGAAAAGGGCTTTCTGTTTTATTTTATTGCTCCAAATCTTGATTGAAAGGGGCCTTCTGTTTCATTTTACTGTTTTGCTTTCAAGCGGTTGCTTTTAATTTCATCTGGCACCCTCCGATTCTGTGCAATGCAGTATATAGAAGCTTTCTCTGTCAATGACTACTGTACACATTTGCTTTCTATCAGATCTGCTTTTCAGAGTCTCTTTTGGAAGCTAAACACTCGTAACCTTTATCAGTTCGCCTCACATGGAGTCTCACTTGTAGACATGATTGTTCTGTGGACATTTGTTGTTCCACAGCCTGGTATTTCCTTTTGGGATGATCTGCCCTGGAGTTATCAGTTGCTCATTGCTTGGAAATCCTAGCAGCGGAAAATAAAGCTGTGCCTGTCAGTCTGCTTTGCAACAGCAGCTGAGCAACCTGACTTCAGAGGGCTGATAAGAACAGTAATTGTTATCACACCAGTTTGCAGAGTCCCATCTGGAGATATCGGGGATTGAATCTGAGACGTTTTGCATGCAAAGTAGATGCTCCACTACTGAACTGGAGCACTGTGTCCAGTTCTGGGCCCCACAATTTAGAAAGGATATTGACAAGCTGGAATGTGTGCAGAGGAGGGTTGAACAAGATGATAAAGGATCTGGAAAACAAGCCTTATGAGGAATGGTTGAAGGAGCTGCAGTGACATAGTGTGGGAGGAGGCACAGGGGCAGTTGCCCCAGGTGCAAAATTGTTTGGGGTGCAAAATTTCAACACCTGGTGCTGCCTCAATGCAGCTGTGCACTTCTGTTGATGGGCTCCATTGAAAACAGTTTCTCCATGCGAACCAGAAAGTGACCTCTCCAGACCACGGCCAACTCTTCTTTTCTTATCTCTGCAGCTGCAGTTTGGGTGATGCAGACACCGTTAAACCATTGAATGTGCATGTGTACTCTGTCCATTTTCCTCCCTTCCACCCCTCTCTGTGTGGCCCCGGGTGCTGGCAACCCATGCTACGGCACTGAGGAGCTGTGTATGTTTAGCCTGGGAAAGAAAGGAGATACGATAATTGTTATGTTCTGAAGTTCTCACCCTGGGCTAGCAGGGGGATACTGTAGATAGTTATGCAAATGAAGGATCAAAAGTGACATTCAGTGATTGGATGGATACTGTAGATAGTTATGCAAATGAAGGATCGAAAGTGACGTTCAGTGATTGGATAGTTTTAGAAAGTTGTTACAGTAACGAGGTACTGGAGCTCTATGTAAGCAGGCTGACTGAGCCCTTCAGTTCCGTTCCGTTTCAGCTTACAAATAAAGAGCTGCTTTGGAAGAATTGCTGTGTCTTCTGATATGTTCACCCACAACTTAACAATAGTCATCTTTAAATATCTCAAGGGTTGTCACATGGAAGATGGAGCAAGCTTCTTTACTCCTGCTCCGGTGGGTAGGACTTCAACCAGTGGCTTCAAGTTACAAGAAAAGAGTGTCTGACTAAACATCAGGAAGAACTTTCTGGCAGGAAGAGCTGTTTGGCAGTGGAACGGACTCCCTCGCAAGGTTGTGGACTCTCCTTCCCTGGAGTTTTTTAAGCAGAGGGTGGCTGGCCATCTGTTATATATGATCCCTGCATTGCAGGGGGTTGGACTAGATGACCCTCGGGGTCCCTTCCAACTCCTCAATTCTATGATTCTATGCTCGCTTTCAGGCCTTGCATCAAGGGCTGACCTGGCCAGATGCTCGCCCAGGACCCCCACTCCCTGGCCCTGCTCCTCCCCTTCATAGTGGGGCTCAGGAGTATAGCATCTGTGTCTTGCATGCAGACATGGGCGTAGCCACGGGGGGGCGGGGGGCAACTGTCCCTCTAAATCAAGTAAATTAATAAACATACTTAACTAACTGAGATTCTGCCCCCCTAATATGAAGCCTTCCTCCCCAACATAAATTCTGGCTACACCCATGCATGCAGAATATCCCTTGTTCATTCCCCAACACCTCCTCCCTGTCTGAAACCCTGGAGAGCCACTGCCAGTCAGTGCAGACAATGCTAAGCTGGATAGACCAGTGGGCGTGACTCAGTAAAAGGCAGCTTTCTAGGTTCCTAACCTGCTTGTTCACCTGCCTCTTGCTCTGGCCAAGAGGGAGGGAGTAAGCAAACTGCAGAAGTGGTGAGAAGGAGGAAGAGTGACTGTCAGAGCCTCTTTCTCCATCGGTGAGGGCTGGCTGGCTCTTGCTTTCCTGTTTTATCTGGCAACTGGGAGGTGCAGACTCTATGGCTTATGTGTATCTGAGAACCAGGGCCAGCATTAGCAGTCAACATGGCTGAATACTTGCCAAGGGCCCACAGGGACCCAGCAGGAAGGCCCCTGGCAGGAGCGCCCTGGAACTGCTACTTCTTCTTTTCCCCATTGCAACCTGCTTCTGCACCTGCCTCCTTTTCCAACAGGCAAACAACAACAGAGAAGGTGAGAAGGAAGAGGTGTGGTCGTCACCCCCTGCTTGCTCATTGGATCTGTCTGGCAAGCAAGCAGGTGGCAGCAGCTAGGCGGGCAGAGGAGCAGGAGCAGCTGGCAGCAATGGCAGACTCACCAAAGCAGTGGGTCCATTCTAAGTGTCTTTTCCAAGCACCCCTCTCCCTAACACAAAACCTGGCATCACCATCATTCCTGCCTCTTTGTCAGTTTTAATCAGTGGTTCTGCAAGGTCAGGCTACACCTGCTTTGTTTTGGAGGCTATTTTCGGATATACTATGAAAGAGAGAGGGACACGGGTGGCGCTGTGGGTTAACCACAGAGCCTAGGGCTTGCCGATCAGAAGGTTGGCGGTTCAAATCCCTGCGACGGGGTGAGCTCCCATTGTTCTGTCCCAGCTCCTGCCAATCTAGCAGTTCGAAAGGACGTCAAAGTACAAGTAGATAAATAGGTACCGCTCCGGCGGGAAGGTAAACGGCGTTTCCGTGCGCTGCTCTGGTTCGCCAGAAGCGGCTTAGTCATGCTGGCCACATGACCTGGAAGCTGTACACTGGCTCCCTCGGCCAATAAAGCGAGATGAGTGCCGCAACCCCAGAGTCGTCCGTAACTGAACCTAACGGTCAGGGGTCCCTTTACTTTTATGAAAGAGAGAGAGAGAGACAGAGAGAGAGAGAGAGAGAGAGAGAGAGAGAGAGAAGTTATTAAAGATGGCCTTGAAAATGAAGATGAAAATGGGTGGTCACTTTTATTTATTGCATCTGTATTGAAGTTTTGGTAACATGCAAATACAGTATATACAGAAATTACAGCGCGAATTGGTTGTGTGCCTAGGTATACAGAGATGCTATCCCTCCTGCAATCCAGGAGAGGGCACCCTTCATCCAGCATTTGAAGTGAACTTTCTAGTTTGCAGCTCTGGATTTCTGCCTGACAGGCTGCAATTTACTGCTGCATTTAGAAAGAACCGAAGTGGTACATGGATTGAAAGCAGAACCTGATCTGTAATAACAGCCATGAGCAGAGAACTGAACGTCTGGTGCTTGGATTGCTGTGCTAGAACAGAGAGCTCCTCTTCTGTGGAATGCATTGTTAGCATTCCATATATGAGCAGTAATACCACAGGAATTGGCCAAATGTGGGGGACCCACATCCATCTAGCTCTGCTGGTGGCTTGGCTTGTTAGCATAACTAAATCCAGGGGGGTTCTGTGTTTGGCACAGTTTAATTAAACCTTGATTAATTCTAATTTTTACTAATTCCAGGATTTATGGGTGACTTGCACCCACAGACTTTGACCCCTAGAACTTATAACATTATGTTCTGATATACTTGCACATCAATTTTGAAGGCTAGCTATAGGGCAACAGGCTCCTTTGGGATGAAGGGCAGGATACAAGTTTAATAAATGAATAAAATAACAAATGCATATTCATCCTGATTTGCTTGTGGAATGTTTGCACATCTTTCCATTAATTGTTCATCCCACACTTTTCAATGCATATCCCTGTCACTTTCCTAGTTGCAAAAAGACGTTTGTTTGTTTTAATGGATTTGTTGCGCTAGGGTGACAGAGTACTTTAATCCACCTTCACTGTGTAAACCAACGTTTCTGCAAAATATTGGCAGTCTGGAGGCACCCATTATCATTCACCTCTCCTGTTGATCAAGCCTTGTAACATCAGCCCACAAATTTAAACACTGACTTTCTAACCTCCTTTTCCTAACCTTTCAAGTTCCTCATGGGTTTGCTCCACTTTAATCCCATAATGTATCAATTCCTTTCCACCACTTGAAACTCCCTTCCCACATGTATATAATTTCTCCAAATTCCATCTAGGTTTGACATCATGTTAAGTTTCGTTAAATACCAAACCATGAAAACAAATTAGTATTGCAATCATTTGCAAAAGCAGGGCATTCTGTAGGTTAAAGGAGTTCAGTATGTTTAGGTGGGGAGATGATTAAGAGGCAATATGATAGCCATCTTCAACTATCTGAAGGGCTGTCATATGTAGATCACATGTGGAATTCTTTTCTGTTGCTCCAGAGGGCAGGAGGACCAGGAAGCAATGGGTTCCGATTACAATCAAGGGGATTTTGACTAAGCGTTAGGAAGAATGACTTCCTGGTGGCATGACCTGTTTGAGAGTGGAGCAGGCTGCCTTGGAAGGTCGTGGACTCTCCTACCTTCCTTAGAGGTTTTTAAGCAGAGGCTGGAAGGCCACCTAGCAGGGATGCTGCAGCAGTGGATTTCCTGCATCACTAGTGGGGTTGGACTAAATTGAGGTCCTTTCCAACACTTTGGGGTTGGGACAAATCATTTGCTGCTGCATCTCAGGCAGCCTGGGAAGAGTCCAGAGGGACAGAGAAGCATTTAGCTCCTGGGCCTGAGGCTTCCCACCACTGCATTGCAGAGTATGCCCATGGTAGTTGGTAGAGCATGAGACTCTTAATCTCAGGGTTGTGGGTTTGAGCCCCATGCTGGACAAAATGAACTAGATGACTCTCATGGTCTCTTCCAACTCTACAATTCTATGAGTACAAAAGACAGATCCCTGACCTGATGGGAAACCCAGCCAGATGGGTGGGGTATTATTATTATTATTATTATTAACAACAACAACAACACCTATTATTATTATTATTATTATTATTATTATACTTATAGGCTTACATATAGTACGGAGGTAACTCAGAGGAAGGAGAAGCAGAGGGGTAAAGGAAAAGAGTCTGCAACAATTGCACTAATTGTTCAGCATAATGGAAAATCACTGTCCACATCAAATGTAACTCAATCAGAACAAATGCTCCCAAAACCTAGGAGTACCTCCTCCACTGAAATCAGCAGAATCAGACTCAGATGCCCATCCAGCAGCAGTGGATAATCCTTGGAATGTAGTGAACTGCAAAAAGAAAAAGTAAAATACCATCCAGCCTGCAAACCAAGTGAAACAGAATGAAAGTGAAAAAGTGAGTGATCCTTAAGGCTGTCTAACCTAATATTTCAACAGAATTTTCCTATCAGACGCTTCTGCAACCAGACTTATTCTCATGTTCATTGTAAACCCTGGGGAAGTAGAAGATCTTGTAAATACAACAGGATCTCCGCTGGCCCCTAAGTTCTCCTCTGCAACTTTGGGAAGTGCTCCAAACTCCCCTGATGGTGGGAGAGATTCCTATTCAAAGGGAACTGTTTATTGTTGTGTTCAAATTGCTGTTGCGGTTATTGTTGTTCAGTTTCATAGGGATTAGCAACCCAAGTCACATCAACCAGAAATCCCATCTTTCCACAAAATTTAAAAGTAAAGCATCATAGCAACTGATGCTATGAGCATTTCACAAGCTAGCGCTCCATCTAGTGGCTGGCTTAAAGTGGGATGCGGGTGGCACTCTGGTCTAAACCACTGAGCCTCTGGGGCTTGCTGATCAGAAGGTTGGCGGTTCGAATCCCCGTGACGGGTGGGAAACGGTGTTTCCATTGCACCCGAAGCAGTTTAGTCCTGCTGGCCACATGACCCAGAAAGCTGTCTGTGGACAAACGCCAGTTCCCTTGGCCTGAAGCAAGATGAGCACCTTTGGTGGGATGTAACCATCCAGGAGTCCTTTACCTTTTCTTTTCTTTTTTCTTTTTTAACCTTTAACTGGCTTTAAATATAGGATCGGGAAATCCAGCTAAAAGAGCCAGAATGGAACTAGTTCATTAAAAAACCCAGCTGACATAATTTCTCTACAGAAAATACAGCAAAAAAGAGAAAAAAAGAGTCAGATATAAACTTTTTAAGGGTGGATGGTTAAAATCCCAAATATTTGCAGTTGGCAATACGAAAGTGAGAGAGGAGCGGTGGTCATTATAACCAAAAAGTGTCCTTTTGCAATTTGGGAGCGGGGAGGGGGGAGGTTTTGTGCAATATAAGCAGTCATATGCTATTTACGTTAGAGATACGGTCATACCTTGGAAGCCAAACGCCTTGGCACTCGTACGTTTGGCTCCCAAATGCCGCAAGCCCAGAGGTGAGTGTTTCAGTTTGCAAACGTTCTTTGGAACTTGAACGTCCATTGTGCCTTGGTTTTACAAACGTTTTGGAAGTCGAACGGACTTCTGGAACGGCTTCCGTTCGGCTTCCAAGGTACGACTATACTGGATGAATATATATTTATGAAATGGTTTTGGTTTGAGTTCCTGGGAAATAAGCACTACCACCTGAAACCTGGTTGCCTGTCTACTTACAAGGAGCCCAATCTATTGGAAATTTCTACTGCATCAAGAATTAAGAGAACAGCTCATTCATTTTGGTGGGGCTTATGCTGTGCAAGTTCCCTGTCAACTGCAAAGCTGCCTGCACTTCACTTTGGGAAGTGAGGAATTCCATAGTTAAGCAAATTTAATAATAATGATAGTACATGTCTGCCAATATCTACACCTATTCTAATTTGAATTCCCCTTATAAGGGAAATAAAACATTGAGCTAAAATTTAAGAGCAATTTAAGCAGCAATTACCCTACCTACAGTCCTCAGTTATTGCAGAACGTCATAGCTTTAATTAAGAGAAAATTAGGTTTTCATAATTCTAAACAGAATTCTGTACTAAGAATCATAGGTTTCATCCATTATCCTTTATAATTTGTGTTAGTTCTTCATTCAATATTTTAGTTATGCACTGTATAAATAAGTAATTTCTTTGATTTAAGTTAATCTTCTACTTATATTAGCTTAATTGCTAACTGTTTTTTAAAAGACACACACAAAGGATCTCTTCTGGATCTCTTTTGGTACTGTACAAAAGCTTGTATGAATTAAAGCTGCCTGTAGCTTCTGAATTTTGCACTTCTCATGCATTGTGAATGTCATTTTTAAATAAAACACTTTGAGTGTAATTGCTGTCTTAATTTCAAATTGGGATTTTGCAGAAAGAAAATGCTTTGCAGCATAAGCTGAAAAGACATTTACCCTTGTATTGCTGTTCAAAACTTGCAGCTGGCTCAGTTCAGAATTCTAAAAATTATGAGTTTTTCTCGGTTGGACAGCTTAATCTTGTCTCCATTCCAATTCTCCACTTTGATGCCCATCTCATCTTCCTACTCATGCTGGGTGTGGGTAATATGACTGAAGAAAGGCCAGAGCCCAGAGTTATGACAAGAGCCTTTGGCACCTAAGAGCTTCCTTATAAAACCCCCATCCCATCTCTGATTCTCCCTTATAGGTTGCCCTTGAGTCATAATATATAGTATCGCCCTAATGACAAACTATAACAGCAAACTTATCTATACTCCCTTGTGATCTATGCAGAAATCAGTGGGACTAATGAGTAAATGTGGTGTATTTGGGCTGTCAATATATTCTGTATTCATATTATACAAAGTTCATTAATGCTCTCATAATATCTAGGTTAGACTATAGCAACGTGGAGCTCCCCTTAAAAACCATTTGGAAACTTCAGTTTGTTTAGAACACAGCAGTCAGAATACTAACTTGGACATATGAGTTTTAACCTATTTCACCTGTGTCAAAACATCACTGATCGTTGTTGTATTTCTGGGCAAAATTCAAGGGTTATCTCATACCAAGTGATCCAATCTTTAATTAATGTTTTACTTCATGTCGTCCAATTTTCTAAAAAAAATTGTACACTTACTGAATGATAAAAACTAAGTTTAAATCTAAAAATTTAATTTTTTTATCTCATCCCGCTTTTGAGTTATAAGGGTTTGAAATTTCAAAAAAATGACAGTTTTGGCCTTGCCAAATATAAAAACCTTAAAAGTTCAGCCCAGAATTGAGATATTTGAAAACTAAAAATACAAATCTCTTCAGAACCTCATGGGCTTTAATATGATATAGTACATGATGGACTTATTTTAAATTTGAAAGTTAAAGTTACAAAATTTAATTTAAAAAAAAATATTTAAAAATTAACCCCCCCCCCAAAATGTATAGATTAGTTCATATTTCTAAGAGCTACCTGCAAATATTCACCTCAGGATCTTAATGGGATCACATTAATTTTTTAATTTTTTTTACCATACATGTCTTCCTTATTGGGTTCTATTTAGGATAAATGGGCCTTGGAATAAAATATAACAGAAGAAACAAAACTTCAAACGATAATATCAGTTACTTCAGGCATTTCTTTTATTCAATTAAAAGGTTTCTGATAAGCTAGCCACGCTTTTCTTTTAAAAATGAGTTTCAAAGCAGAGTGATAGCTTGCTGTTGCAAGACAGAATTAACACTGTACATTCAGATCTCAGTTTGTCTAGAGTTGTAATATTTCTAAAAGTGGAAATCCAGAAAATTGTAAAAACTGTGATCTCTATTTTTTAGAGAAATCTCAAAAAAAGAAAAGAATTTTTGAGCTATTTTTAGTGAAATTCGTCAAAATCGACATGGGCTGTTGGACATTTCCACGATTTCCACCCAGATGCTGTTTATGAGGGCTGAATACCGGCTATGTCCAGGAAATTCTGGATACATGGCATCCCTAAGTTTGCCAAATATGCAGATAGTCTCAGCACCTCCTTTCTGTTTTGGTTTTAAAAAAACTGAGCCCACTTTATATAGCCATGTTAGTTTCTGGCAGCAAAAGTCTTGTAACGCCTTGAAGCCTAAGAAATTAATGGGTTGTAGCATAAGCTCTCATAGAAATCCCCTCCCGCCAAAACATACAGAGCGCTCAAGTGAAATTGGTAAAATATCCAAAGTGTGTGAGAGAGCATGATCCACTCCCAGCTTGTAAATAATTGGTGAAACGAGATGGTTTGTGTGCCTGAGCAATCACTTTCATGCATGCCTCCAATTATCGTATGTTTTCATGCATTTGCTTCCTAGCCTGCTTCCCCCAACCTGTTCAGCTCTGCTTGACTGGGGCCATTTGCTGCTTCCCTTCCTTCCTTGGGGAGGGGGGAAGAGCTCGTGGCTCATTTCAGGCCTTTGCATTTATTTTCTGAGACCCCTGGCTTGCCTTAGCCTATTCAACACGGCATTTCCATCGCTGCCTTTGTCCCCTCGTTCCGCCCAGCCGCTCAACTGGTGTGGAGGGAGTTCACTTTTGATTCTTTTCCCATGCCAGAAGCCCTTCTCAAAGCAGCTCCCTGACTTCCACTTGCCTTTGTTTTGAGAAATTAGCCCTTCTCTGGCTTGCCAGCGCATCGGCATCTGCTGCCATCAATCAGCTCACTCCTAATGGATGAAGAGACCCCCAGTTTTCCTACCTAAAAAAAAAAAGAGAGAGAGAAAAGTCCTGAGACGCTTATCATCCTTGGCTGCAAAACAAGGCCACTTTCAGTTGCAAAAGAGCCACACAACCCCACACAATGGCCCCCTGGCCTGTCAACTCGTCTTGCTCGATGTACCCCAGTCTTGAAGGATTTGCCTCAGCTCCTTGATTAGCATAGGCCAATGGCTTTGCCCTGTTCCTTTTGGCCCAGCCGGGGCTACTTTTCACTCTTTATCTGGAGGCCAGTCCAGCATTTCCATCTGAGGGATAATCCCTTTTGTCGCTTTTAACCCACTCCTCATTCCAGCCCCTTCGCTTTGTTCAACATTCAAACAGCGCATGAGTCATCATCTGTGCACCCTTCCCATCCACCTCCAAGAATTGTGCTCTGCTGAGGCTCATGTTACCCTTCTGAACTTTTGGGCCATGGGAAATGTTGCCTCAAGGGTTGCCAGAAAATGGGGCTGAGGGTGCAGCCTTTAGAGCTTTCCCCACTGTCTTGTGAGGACAGAGGACCAGGATTCAAGTTCAACTGGGAAAAAATATATCTAGAATCCAAGTTCAATTGGAGAACTTATCCAAATATCTAGAAATCAAGTTCAGCTGGATAACTTTTAAAGAAGAACCTCGGAAGTCGAACGGAATCCATTCTGGAAGTCCGTTCGACTTCCGAAAAGTTCGGAAACCAAGGCGCGGCTTCCAATTGGTTCCTGATTGTGCAGACATGCCGGAAACAATAGCGGAAGCTGCGGCGGACATTCGACTTCCAAAAAAAGTTCAAAAACTGGAATACTCACTTCTGGTTTTCAATCATTCGGGAGCTAGAGCATTCGACTCCCAAGACGTTTGGGAGCCGAGGTACAACTGTATGGCATAGGCAGGGCCAGCCCACCCATGAGACAAGGTGGGGTGACCACCTTAGGCGGCATGATCCACAGGGGCAGCAGATCTGACCTACAAGACCTACCCACACGCTGCTGCTGCCGCCGCCACCACCACAGTGTCAGCAACAGCTGTGGCACATTCCTTGGATACTGGTTCTGCTGCCTCCTCAGCAGCCTCTCGTTGGGGGGACACCATCCACTCTGACGCTCACCCGAAACACAGGGCTGGGAACGACTGTTCCTTCATGACTCCAGGCAGCCAGCACTAGCAACCCTGGACCAGATAAACCATCTCACCCAAGTGCAGCATGAGTGCCTAAGCACAGGACCAGCTGACCAATCATTAATTAAACTGCCTGTGTTCAGTGTCAAGAGATTCTGATGTATTCCACTATTGCCCTGCAAACATATGTCACATTTAAGTACAGTGAATGGAACTTAGCACCCTGATCATCTCTCTCTTTTTCCCTTCTGTAAAGAACAAGTTTCTAGCCGCTATGGTTATTTGAAAGGATATGGGTGATGCCAGGTGAACCTCCAGAGGCTGGCTGAGTAGGACTTCAGCAGAAAGCAGGCAGTGCTTCAAGCCACAATCCTATACACACTTACCTGGGAGTAAGTCCTGCTGAACTGGGTCTTCTGGGCAGACATGTGAAATATTGCACTGTCTATGTCTTGCTTAGGGGTTTTGCCCATCTCCATCACTAGTGGAAAAATAAATTAGGCCTATATTTGAAGGAGTCCTCTGTTTGAAGGGCTGTCAGGTTTAAAAAGAAAGACCCTAAGAAAGGGAGAGTAGGGATGGCCCTTGGAAGTTTCCCATGAACAGCTAGCACACTGCAGATGGTGACAGCAGTCACAAAATTAAAAGACGCCTGCTTCTTGGGAGAAAAGTGATGACAAACCTAGAGAGTATCTTAAAAAGCAGAGACATCACCTTGCCAACAAAGGTCCATATAGTTAAAGCTATTTTTCCCAGTAGTGATGTATGGAAGTGAGAGCTGGACCATAAATAAGGCTGATCGCCAAAGAATTGATGCTTTTGAATTATGGTGCTGGAGGAGACTCTTGAGAGTCCCATGGACTGCAAGAAGATCAAACCTATCCATTCTTAAGGAAATCAGCCCTGAGTGCTCACTGGAAGGACAGATCCTGAAGCTGAGGCTCCAATATTTTGGCCACCTCATGAGAAGAGAAGACTCCCTAGAAAAGACCCTGATGTTGGAAAAGATGGAGGGCACAAGGAGAAGGGGACGACAGAGGACAAGATGGTTGGACAGTGTTCTCGAAGCTACCAACATGAGTTTGACCAAACTGCGGGAGGCAGTGGAAGACAGGAGTGCCTGGCGTGCTCTGGTCCATGGGGTCACAAAGAGTCAGACACGACTAAACTAAACAACAACAAATGGAGGGCTACAGCTTCTTCATCCCTGCTCTACAGGTGCATGCATTTAAAACACATTTTCCCTATCCCCCCAAATCCTGGGAACTAGTTTACTCTGCACAGAGCTGCAATTCCCAACACCCTTAACAAACTACAGTTCCCAGGATTTTTGCATGTGTGCTTTAAATGCATGGCGTGTAAAGTCGCATGTGATGGATGGGGAGAAGGGGGTGAGGTGCCAAGGACCCACTGGAGGAGATCCGGTCCTCACTACTGACCCCAGAGATGACCCTGCAGCAGCTGCTGTTCCTCCTTCTCCATCTTTGTGGGTCAGGGACTGGCCATGAACCCGCACAATGGGCACTGGAGCCTTGGCAACTGCCCAGAGATGCCATCTGAATGAGTTGGTGCAAGGTGTTGACTCATTAGGATTTTTTTTTTAAATAAAAAGATTAGAATATGCACAGGCTAGCTCTCATTCAGGCTGTGAGAAAGAGCAAGACTCTCTCTCTCTCGCTGTGTTTCTTAATGACGTCAACTGTCCCATCTCATCCTTCTCAGCGACCCCCCCCTGCTCCCAGTTCTTAACAGGCGTTTAACAAATGACTTGCCTCCATTTCAAAACCACAGCCCAAACTTCCTGCTTTGCAATCAAAAGAAGAGGACCTGACCTTCACCCCTTCAGTAACCATAAAAACAGGGGCGATAAATCTAATCTGCCTCCAGAGGCTGTTCCACAGGATCCAATCAGTCGTTCGTTTCGTTTGGATAAGGGTTGTAGAAGTGTCTTGTGTCAGCGCAAGGTCAGGTTCATGGGATTTCTTCCCAGCCTCTCCCCCATTTCTAGCTAGGGCACAGCCTGGAATCTCAGCAACTGGAGCTTTAATGGCATTGGGGTGTGTGTGTATTTTACGAGCATCTCGAAGAATAGGAGCTTTGTTGGAAACCTGAAGGCCTGCGCTGAGAGAGTGTCAAAGGGTTAAGTGAACACACCAGCACATTAATGGGGGGTTGGATTAAGACATTCCAGTACTCCAAAGTAAGAGACTGGAGGCCGGCAGAAGGAGGTGGCCTGCTCAGTCTTATAGTGAGTTTACTTCTACACTGGATAAGGGACCATTGTTCATTGGCAGAGGACTTGCTCTGCGTACAGACGGTCCCAAATGCAATCTCAGGTACTTCCACTTAAAGGACCTCCTTTAGCCGAGTCTTCTGATTGCTTTTGTTTGATTCTTGCTTTAAAAACTTCCCCAACACCCTTTAAAATCACAACCAAAACTCCCTGCTTCCTCTAAAACCCCCCTCTTCTTTATCTAAAGTGGCCCAAGTCAGCATCTACGTTCCTTTCGATACTACCTCCAGCCAATTCCCCCGGCCTCAATTCCTAGTTTCTTTCTTGCTTTGCCCTTCTCAGTCCCTTACTAAGTTTACATGTTTCTATGTTGGTATCTTGAATGTTAATTCCTTTAAAACTATGAAAGCCTATGCCACTTCACTTCTGTTTCACATATTTTAAATAAAGATGCCCATTCCCTTTTACTTGTTTGATTAATTGGTAATTTTTTATGTGTTATTTTTACTCCATAAATCTTTAATGTGATAGTTTTAGGACACACCCAGCTCTCAGTGTCAAAACACCCTAAAATGGATGTCAGGGTCACGTGCAAGAATTGTAGGCTCATGTGAAAATTGCACAGTTCATAAGGAAGCAGCTTTCAGACAGGAGACATTCCCTGTCCTACTTAGAGATTCAGCCACTCACTATACCAGAACTGGACTTGATAGCCAGGCATGGTTCAATAGAAAAGGTAGCTTTGCTGGAAGAGTGACTTACACCCTGGCCCCCCAAAAAGGACACAAATTTGCACATGCAAACTTTATATGTGTAAATGCCAGTGTATATTTAAAAAGGTAAAGGTAAAGGACCCCTGACTGTTAAGTCCAGTCACAGACGACTCTGGGGTTGTGGTGCTTATCTCGCTTTACAGGCCGAGGGAGCTGGCGTTTGTCCGCAGACAGTTTTTCTGGTCATTTGGCCAGCATGACTAAGCTGCTTCCGGCGAAACCAGAGCAGCACACGGAAACACTGTTTACCTTCCCGCCGGAGCGGTACCTATTTATCTACTTGCACTTTTTAGCATGCTTTCGAACTGCTAGGTTGGTAGGAGCTGGGACTGAGCAATGGGAGCTCACCCCGTCGTGGGGATTCGAACCGCCGACCTTCTGATCGGCAAGCCCAAGAGGCTCAATGGTTTAGACCACAGTGCCACCAGCATTCCTGTATAAATATTTACTGTCTTTTAAATAGGAATAAAGTGGCAAACAGATGATCCCATTTGCCAGCTCAGTCTTCTGTTCAGGTACTCACTGCTGCTGATGCACAACTCCAAAGCCCCTGCTTTTTCTTCTGGTTCATCATCTTTAAACCAGAAAGCCAAGTGACACTTGGGGGGTGGGGAGTAGCTAGTGATTAGTCCCTCAGGGATGGAGTCTGACTGGGGTGGGGTGGGGGCTGAGGAAATACAAAAACCTCTCCATGGCCCTTTGACCCAGCTCCTTGCTGCAATATTTTAGTTCTTCTCTTGAGAAACTCTGGGCATGCTGAGGGAAAGTTTGAACCTGAAGCTTCAACTATATTTCCCTCCCCTATAATCTTGGATTTGCCTAAAGGCACCCTTGGTCAATGATGTCCTGTTTTCTGCAACACCCGCACTTGGGGTGCAATTCAATCAAAGTACCCAAAGCTATACTAGTTAAATAACTATTTGTCCAGTTTCAGTTGTTCTTTAGAGAAAGACATAACAAGTACAGGTGACACATTTGCATTTTAATGTAAATTAATATTAATAGGTCCATTGTCTTCTTTCTGTACAGATATATACAAATAGGTAAACATAGCAGTTTTATATTTACAAAATAATTAAGTTATTTTTATTAATTAGGCTCTCTGAATATATAAATACACATGTACATAAATAGCACCAGCACAGGATGCTTCAACATTAGTTGTGTCTTATTTACAGTTGAGAACAGTACGAGGTTGTGTTTGGCAAGGTCATGCCAATGGTGTAATGTACACCAACAAGCACCATCCGGGTCCGTGGCAAGATAAAATTAAAAAAAAAAGGGGGGGGGGGAGAGACCCTTAACAGTACTGCAATTTTCTTTACCACACTTGATGCCATTGGTATCAGGCGGATTAGAGGCGGAACGAACCACACCCAAAGAAAATGACTGCTCAAAAGGTGTTTTTCAAAAAATAAATGTAAAAATAAATAACAATTGTGGCGCACTTATTCCATCAAGAGATATGTTCCTGCAGTACTGCACATTGCCCTGCATGCAGATGCAGTTGGTGCTCCTTCAATTCCACGTAGCATGTACCAGTGTTTGCTCTCCAGAGAAGTCTGGAAGGACGTCATAGAGCACTCCCTCAAGGAAGTAAGTCAGCATCCCTCCTGCACAGCGGATGGCCCCGTGGCAGCCCCTCCCCACCTTCAAAGGATTCCAGTGTGTAAACAGCAAACCAAGGCAAGCCGAGGTCAAACAATGCTGGCCAGCTCTGTGGAGTCTGACTCGGTGCTACTGTTGTTTTCTTCATCTCTGGGGAAGTAAAAGAAGGAAAATATATGTTAATCTCACACACACACACACACACACACACAGGTTTGCAGTAGGCACACAGACTGCAGCTGTAAGGGCTGCATTCAACTAATGAGTCCTGCTAGTGGAAGCCCATGCCAGGACTTCTGCTTGTGCAATAGGGCTTCACCCCATCCTCCCATGAGAGCCAGTGTGGTGTAGTGGTTAAGAGCGGTGGACTCGCAATCTGGGGAACTGGGTTTGTGTCTCTGCTCCTCCACATGCAGCTGCTGGGTGACCTTGGGCCAGTCACACTTCTTTGAAGTCTCTCAGCCCCACTCACCTCACAGAGTGTTTGTTGTGGGGGAGGAAGGGAAAGGAGAATGTTAGCCGCTTTGAGACTCCTTTGGGTAGTGATAAAGCGGGATATCAAATCCAAACTCTCTCTCTCTCTCTCTCTCTCTCTCTCTCTCTCGTGTTGGGGGGAAACCCAGAACAGTGCATGAGGGGTGGAGAGGGAAGATTGTTCCCTCTGGTAAGCCAACATGCTTCCGCTGATGGAACAACTGCCATAGAACTACGATGAATTCCTAAGTTTCCAAACAGGGATTAGGTGTTGCTGCCAGAGGCAAAAGTGTCCTTCAGCTGTGTACACACCATACATTTAAAGCACACAGCCTATCCCAGGAATCCTGGGAAATGTAGTTTATTAATGTTGCTGGAAATTATGCTTTTGTGAGGAGTAAACCACAGTTCCCAGGATTCTTTTTGGGGGTGCTTTGAAGGTTTGGTGTGTACCAGGCAAGGCGAGGTCAGTACCCAATCCAGAGCTCCTGTGTGTTTGCACTATGCTGACCTTGCTCCTGCCTCATTCCTCCTCTCTTACCTCCTAGGAAGCATCAGGGACTGCTACTGCTTCAGCAGACCCTCCACTATTGCCTAAAAGGTGACCTTTAATCTGTCCCATTATGAAGATGCAGGTTGCTTGTTAAGACGCAGCTCATGACTCCCCTGGTGCCCTCTTCCAGACTCGACAGGGAGTGTAAGGCACAGCCTGCTGCTTATGTGACAAATGTCCCTCCCTCTGGGGAATGAAAGAGGTTCGCAGTATTGGAAAGGACTCAGAAAAAGAGGAAAACAGTCTGGTTGGTGGGCCACTGCGATTCACAGGTCACCAGTTGCCTATCCCTGAACTAGAGCTACCCCCACTTCTGAACTATCAGGCAGTTATGTGCCACCACTAATCTTGGAGTAAAAAAGGTACCCGAGGCAACTCTAAACAGTCAGGAATCCCAGCAAGTGAAGACAGAACTATCAGGAAGCCAAGCAATGATTTGTGCATAAAGGACCAACATTCAGGATCACTCAGCATTTTATATTTAGCTCTCTACACCCTGCCATGGAGTGCTGCATCAGAGAAACTAGACACTCATTTGTCCCAGGGCCATCAAACGCCTGCTCTATTTTAAGTTTTGGCAATAAATGGAAAGGGTCATCTGGAGGAAGAGCCACCTGTCCTTGCAGAATTTGAACCCATGGCCACAAACGGGGAATTTTGAAGGAGTGGTGTTTTCCGCGGGGGTGGGGGGATTCTTCCTGATTCTGAATGGAGCATGAGATCACACTCTCCCCTTCACTGCAGCTTCACACAGACACGGGATTCCAGATCCTTTGCAAGCCATCCTTCTCCGGAGCCCCTCCCATGCTCAACCCATGAGACTACAGTGAGCATTTTTGCTCAGAAGGGATCAAGGAGGCATAGCATCTGTGGCAATCGCTCCTGAGCCAACAGCATCTCTGCAAGGGAATGTTCTCCTGCAACTACTGGCTAGGGGGTGATAGCCCATCCCATGAGAAAAGTCCCAGTCTGATAGTTGCTCATCTCTGCCAAGTTATAGATGCACTCCCCCCCCTCCCCTGCCCCAAGTGGCCATCTGGGGTCTCACCTTAAATCCTGCAGGGCTTTCTTGTTTTTCCGTCGCCTCTCCTCGTCAATGGGGTACAGCTTGAAAAGGAGCAGGCCAAGGATGATCAAAGCCACAGGAGCAGCCGACACCAGTATCTTCAAGGTCAAGTTTACCTCCTCTGGCTGGGAGCACCCCCGGGTCTTGTAACCAGCAAAGCTACACACCAAGGAAAGAACCGTTATGATGGCTGAGTAAAGTGTCCTGTAGCCCTGCGTCGCTCCTTGCCACACCGCCAGGTTAACAAAACCAGAATAAATTAAACAAAATAATAAATTATACAAACTGCCTCAAATTGCAATAAACAAGCCAACACACACACCAGGTTTCATAACTCTTTTCTTGGGCTGCCTGGGCACATAATTTTAACATTCTTTTTAACAACATATACTCCTGCTACAGCCCCCGTAACTCCTTTGAACAATCTAGTGAGTTAAGTCACTATTTCAGAGAAGGCGAACTGCAACTAAGACAGAACAAACTGCCTAATGCAGCACACAGGTATGTGAAATTAATGGTGACACAGAGCTTCAAGCCCAGGAATTCCAGGGCTCCCAGGTGATGCATTCTAGTCACTGGATCTCACTAGCTCGCCAGTAGATCCATCAGGATCCTCCTCTCCCTAAAATGTCTCCATTCCAGCCATCATGACGAAAACTACCATGCAATTTTAAAGAAATGGTGTAGGCATCTGATAGTCTTCTTCTTCCTCCCCATTTCCTCTTGCATCATATCTTTTTATATTGTAAGGGCAGGGATTGGCTTTGCTTTTATTCAAACAAAGCCAGTCTGGAAGCCTTTTTGGCTGAAGAGCAGGGTAAAAATAATAATGCTTCAAATGATGGCGTTCTGCTATATATACCACCAAATCTAAAAAAGGGGAGAAAGAGGCAGGCAGGCAAAGACTTACTCTAAACTGAGTGTGGAGATTCCCAGAGACACCCCAGATGCAAACTTGATGAAGAAGACGTAGAAGGAGAAGAAAATCGCTTCATGGCCAGTGGAATCTGGGTGCTGCAGGTTGAAGTCATCAATGACATCTGGCAACATGGACCTAAATGGAGAGAGAAGCAAACCAGTCAGTACCATTTCATTCTCCCCAATTGTCCTCAGCTTCCAAACTGGAGGTTACAACAAAGAAGTAAGATGTCCAATTACATAGGGCTGCGATACGTCCGAGTTCTCCTGGACATATCCTGGATTCGGTCGCCAAAAATAGCATCTGGGGGGAATTTCTGAAAACTGCTAAAATGTCTGGGGAAACCTGGACATATGGCAACCCATGTTGGAAGTGGACTTGTTTTGAGCAAATTTCCTAAAAAATAGGTTAAGAAAATTAATTTGTTTTGAGATTTTGCAAAAAGCTCAACAACATTTGTCACTGGATTTTCACTCTCTGAAATGTGGCATCCCTAAATTACAAATCACACTTTTTCACTCAATGATAACCAGAAAAACATGTTTTGGGGCTGCCCCATTATTTGCCACCCACATTTCAACATAGAGTTGGGAGTTTCAACATAACATAGGAGTTATTGGGGGTGGGGTGGAAGCATAATCTGCTTTCAGCACTGAAAACATAGTACTATGTTTACTAAACACAAACACACACACACACACACACACACACACACACACACACACACTTACCAGGGTAAAAGAAAAGCAGCAGCGACACTGATTCCTGCTGCAACAGCCACTATATAGGTGATAATAAGGTTACTTTCCATTATTATGATCAAGAGGAGGAAAGGAGTTGCAGACTGTGGAATCAAGAGAGGAAATGGTCAAAAAGATAATCATTTGAAGGTTTCCATTGGCTCAAGACATAGTGGATAAAGATTTATTTTTTTAAAAAAAACATGATAGTTTAGGCTTTAATTGTTTGCACCTTGAAAACAGTATACAAATATTCATTTATATACCTGCAATATATAGTTTTATTTTTAAGGGACAAGGTGGGCTAATATTAACACAGTTACCTCACAACTTGCACGTGTTTAATTTATGCGATTTCAGCTTTACAAGGTTGATGGCCAACTGGTTAAAACTGAACAAATTAAATGCGCAAAAACTGGTGAGCTTAAAAGTTCTTTTTGCACAGAGTTCTCCTGGTGCAGAAAGATCTTTTAAGCTCTCTGCCTTGCTTACCAGCCTCTGGGAGGCTCTTTCTCGGGCTCTGGGAGGGTCTCCCAAGATCTCAGAAAGCTTCCTAGCGTCTGGTAAGCAAAGCAGAACACTTAAAAGCTCTCTGCTCGTTTTTAAGACTCATGTAGTGTGCTGGTTCAGGAAAGCAAGACTGGGGTTCCAAGGAGGTGGTATGTCTATATGCATTTGTGGGTATCCACGCCATCCCCAGAACATAAACACCACAAAAGATGTGAGAAGATTGCATTTCTTGATTTGTAGGCCAATTGCAATGTTGCCCAGCCCTGTGAATAGACTTAGTAACTTACAGGAAGAAAGTAGCAGGTACAGCCCAACACTGACGTCAGTAGGCCTCAAGCACATGAGGTCTGTTCCCCCTTGACAAGGCCTTTCCACAATGGAACAGCCTTGTTTTGGGGAAAAGTAAAGGAGCCCCATGAGGTCCCAAGTCCTGTACTGTCAATAGGCCTTAGATCTGCTGCAGAACAGCCATCTCAGAGAGGGAAACACACAGAGCTAACACTGCACCACTAACAGCCCTCTAGAGAAAACCTTTGAAGAGGCCCATAGTGTTTACCCATAATTCCATGGCATGTTCAGTTCTTGGACTTAATAGTTTTATCAAGATCTAGACCAGCTCATTGAGAAGCTGCTTGGCAGACCACTTGGGCTGCGTGGTTTCCTCGCTGTTGTAGGCTTAGCAGCACCAAGTGGAAAGACTTGCTCTGAGCGCTACGTTTCCCTGCATGGCTTGGCAACAGGCACAAAACCTCAAGTCGGCTTTGTGCTTCCCCTTGGAGATTTTTCACTCACCGAGATTCCAATGTAGACGGCCGTTTTCTTCCCAAAGCGAGTGAGGAACCACTGCCAAAAGGGGATGGTAAGCGTGGCAGAGAGCTGCAAGAGAGCAACAAGAAGGGGAAGGGAGGAAGAGTTGTTACTCGAGTCAGTCAGAGTCAGTCTTCACAACAGCCTCTCCAAGGGAGCTCTGCGGGAGCCTTGGGCACTATGTATGCAAGATCACACGCTTGGATGTGGCATTGATTAACCTGGACTTAAAACCCCGATTCCAAACACAATCATGCGTATGGAATCCACAGTTCGTTCATAAGCATGCACAGAAAGAAGGGGAAATGTTCTGACAGCAAACATAGCTAAGGACCCCAGGGCAGGTTATGATCATGGGAAATTTTTTTTTAGGAATGCCTGCAGTTGCATAATGGCAGGGCAAAAAACACGCTCAGGTTACATGATGCCCATTTACAAATGGCTGCACCAGCTCCTTGGCTTCTTTCATAGCCAGCGCAAATGCCAATTCTATCCTCAGCTGTCCCACCATAGTCTCCTCAAACAATCATGTCCAGTCTCCTTCACTGCCCCCTTACGCCTGAAACTCCCTTCCTTTTTTATAATAACTGTTTATTAGTTTTCAATTAAAGTCCAATAATAGCCTCATTATAACAATACCAATTTATAGTACAATTTGTTCAAATACCGAGTTACAGAATTTAGATAAAGTGGCCCCCTGTGTACTAGATTTGATTGGTGATGTTCTTTATTTCTGCGTTCTATAGCAATAATGCCAGAATTCCGCAAGGCTTATAAAGCACTGAGTTTCCCCACAAGAACTCAGCCAGTGTCAAGTTCCTTTTCCTCATGAAAGTTCCTCTCAGGGCAGCGTCTCTGCCCTTGCCTCTTCTTAGGACAGGACAGGAATTGTTGGTGGCATGTCAAGAACACGCCCCTACGTTCCTATGCAGTCAGAAAGGGAAGAGGAGAGGAGAAATGAAGGGTGGCAGAGTCTGTTACGTATCAGGGATTGGCGTAAGTTTTGATTCTGCAAAGGGGGCGTGAACTGGATGGAGTCTGGCCAAGAGAGCTGGCCATGAGGATGACAGAACATGCTCCACACCCCTCTCTAAGGGACACGCAATGAGGGGCTGAGGTCACAGCCGGTGGCGGCATCCAGCAAAGCTAAGCATGTGGCTAGAACTAAGGGAAGCTTGAATATCCTACTGAGGATGAGAGAGGATGGATGAGGGGCACAGCCTCTCTCAGCAGCACTGTCCCAAAACACCACAGGGAGATGGTGTTGCAAATTATTATTATATAATACAGCTCCATCTGTGGACGCTGAACTTTATACAGAGTTCCATAAGCAAAAAAAGTGACACAGGTCCATGTCCTCCTCCCTTTCCCAGGACAGCACTTGGGTTTGGTTACAGTCAAAAGGATTAAAGGGTTTAAGCCAAAGGCTTAATGGAAAAAGGCGGGTTTTGTGGAGTGATTACGGAACAGCCTTTGCCAGCCTGGCACCCTTCAGATGCTTTGGATTACAACACCTCTCATTCTATGGGATTTGTGCTCCAAAACATCTGGAAGGCACTACGCCGGCAAAGGCTGTTCTGTAAGACAGCTGTGTGTGATGTCACTGGGCAAGGGGCATATGGGGGGGGGAAGCATGGGGAAGTGCTGCAGGTCATTGGGCTGGAGCCCATGAACACCCCCTCCCAGGGTTAGGAACACACACTATTTCCCAAACTTGCATGGCTCTAAAATAAGATATGGAGCTAATTTTTACTTTCTTCCTCAATTTCGACTTGGCCACGAGGTCCTAAAAAGGGTGGGGGGGAAGGGTGGGTGGCCTAAACTCTCACTAGATAAGCAGACTATGAATTTGCTGCAAATGCCCAGGCCACATGTTTTGGGTGGGGAGGAAAGAATAGGAATGAATATGCTAGCCAAGTCAAATTAACACAGTAAAACTGCAGGAGACCACACACCGATTAAGCAGAAGCTTTTTGAAAACACAAAAACAAACACCATACTTTTCAGGACTGCCTTACAGAGGCCACACATCCATGTCTGTCTCTGTCTCTGTCTCTGTCTCTGTCTCTGTCTCTCTCTCTCTCTCTCTCTCTCTCTCTCTCACACACACACACACACACACACACACACACGGCACGGAGAGTCACCACCTGGTATTCAGATACATCAAGGCCCTTTCTTACCAGCGCCTCCCTCCACTCCAAAATATTCAGAGCTCTTCTCCAAATAGTCCAGAGCCCTGTTCATTTTATTCCCCCACAACGGCCCGGACACACTCTCAGCATTCCACGCAGGGTTTGTAATGGCTCCTTGAATGCAAATGGATCAGGTTTTCCCCACTCACTTCTCTAACGTTCATCTCCAACCTCTCCAAAACATCCAATTCATCCTGTTCTGCTCCAGGTGGTGTGCTACATATGCTGCCCCTGCTTAACTTCAAAACCAGCAATTTCCTTTAGGAACTGTTCTGCAGAATGTGTGTATCACACCACTTTAAATAGTTATGGTTACACCCCCCCACCCCACCCCCAGAATCCTGAGGACTAGTTTCTCATAGGTGCTGAGAATTGTTAAGAGACTCTTATTCCCCTCACAGAGCTACAATTCCCAAAGTTCCCTGGGAAGAGGGATTGCTTGTTAAACCGCTCTGGGAACTCTGTGGGAGGAATAAGAGACTCATTCCCCTCCCAGAGCTTAACAACTCTCTGCACCTATAAGATTCTTTGGGGAAATCCATGACTGTTTAAAGTGGTGCAATACTGTCTTAAATGTATAATATGGATGAGGCCTCAGTAATGCACGTTCCTGAATGTGTCATTTTAAAAGAAAAGAAACTTTATTGTTTTTTTTAGCAATGTGGTGAATATCTATATCTATATCATCTATCTACAGTGGTGCCCCGCAAGACGAATGCCTCGCAAGACGGAAAACCCGCTAGACGAAAGGGTTTTCCGTTTTTGAGTTGCTTCGCAGGACGAATTTCCCTATGGGCTTGCTTCGCAAGACGAAAATGTCTTGCGAGTCTTGAGATTTTTTTTTCGCTTTCCCCCCCCTTTATCTAATCCGCTAAGCCTTTAATAGCCTTTAATAGCCTTTTAGCAGCTAATCCGCTAAGCCTTTAAGCCTTTAATAGCTGCTAAACCGCTAATAGCGCTAATCCGTTAAGCCGCTAATAGGGTTGCTTCGCAAGACGAAAAAACCGCTAGACGAAGACTCTCGCGGAACGGATTAATTTCGTCTTGCGAGGCACCACTGTATCTAGTTCTATCATCTCCTGTCCTCCTGTTTGAAGTGGTATAGTCCAAGCCATGGCACCTCCTCTACAAACACTTACAACATTAATGTGCAGAAGTACTTTATATGGGAAACAATGGCACCTTCAAAATACACCATTTCCTTTCGTGTGTTTTGCATTTCTAGGATGGCTTAAGAGTGAATCACTGGATCTGGTAACAGATCAAAAAAGTTGGCATTTTACCTGCCCAAAGTTTTGAGTTTTTCTGTAGCCATGAGAAAACAGAGACCATTGGCGGGGGGCGGGGAGGAGGTAAACCGAAAGCCAGACTGCGCTCAGGATTTGGCCTACCCTGAAGCTGCTTCACAGAGAAAGCTGACAGAGCCCCCCCCCCCAGCTAAATGCAACACCATTGCACGGTAGTCAGTACCACGCTGCCAGGTTGCAAAGGAATATTCTTTTTACCGCGCCATCAGATGAAAGCATGTGGCAAAACAGTTGTCTGCAACCAGTGCAATCAAACCTTTTTGTAAATGTGACACACAGGAGAAGGAAGAGGAAGACAGCAAGTTATTGGTGGGGCTTTACTATGCTACGATGTCTGCATCAGGCCACAGTTTGACTCCTTTGTGAGCTTGGAGAAGCAGAACAGAGCCTCTTTGCCCACCGTGCTATTACTGCCTGAATTACTTTCAAGTCCCTGTGTTTCCTAAAGGCATAGAGAGGAAGGGGGTTCTTCCCTCTCCCTTCACTTCACTTACTTTCTAGCCTGGCACAACACAATGCCCCCCACTGCCTGCTCCCCACCCCCACCCCTCCTCCTCACATCCATCAGCCTGGAAAGGCTTTCCCAGACAAATCGGCTCCATTCCTTTCATTCAGTGCCTCTCTCCGATAAACACTCAAGGCTCCTTTTTTCTCATGATTAAGGGTAGAAAAAATGGCCGGGTTGGGACAAAAGGCTCACATGGCTTTTATTCTCCGTCCCTTTTCATGGCCTCCTTCAAATGCCTAACAAAGAACACACTGTTCCAGGAACCATGTAAAGTGACTGCCCTTCCCTTCCCTAAGGTTGCCCATCCTTTAGCTTCCTCCAACTCCTGCACAATTGTCAGGCAGCTTAAATGCTTCTATGGTGGCTCTCCAAGGAGTGTGTGGCTAAGTTCTCCAACTTCCACGTACTCCTTGGACTCTTTGCACCCTGGCAGCTCAAGACCGGTTTATTGCCGGATGTGCCTCAATTACTATTGGTTTGCAGTTCAGTGGTAGTTTGGTGTTCAGTTGCTGGGCAAACCAAATCAAAGTTCTTCAACATTTCCCCAAAATGCCTTAAACAGATACAGAGCTGCATAGTCATAGGGTACAACTGTCCAGTTATTTCTGCTCAGGAGGAGAGCAGCCTTTTCAAAAGGCAGCATCCTTTACCTTCCAATATTCAAAGTGAGTATTAGCTAAGTAGAATAATGGGGAACCTACAGCCCTCAATAACATTTTAGACTCCTTCTACCGTTAGTTCTCGTCAGCTTGGAAAGCTACAGCTTTCCCCAACACTGGCATGCATGAGTATTTACAAAATAACCTGGGACACCCACACATAGGATGTCACACAATGTTCATTCTGCACATGTATAAAATAATTTTTTTAGTGTGGAATTCACTGCCTCTGCTGTACTCTTTTTGGCGCCTGCTTAAAACATTTCTGTTTACGCAAGTCCATCCAGACACACCACTGTTTTAATCTCCTTTTAGTTTACTACTGATTTTAATTGTTTTCTAAATGCTTTAATTACTTGTTTTCATCTATTTATTGATCATTTTAATTTTTTTGCTAAACCACTTTAGAGGCTCTGTTACAATCGATCAGTATATAAATATTGTTAGATAAAATAAAGAAATAAAAATAAAAAGGAGAATTCCATTCATGAGAGCCTTCTCCCTCAACACACAGGCCAACAGCTACAGACCTTCACTTCTGTGCTGCTGTATCCTATTGTCTGGAAAAACTGATTACCTGGAGGTCAACTGCTGCCACTTGGATTCCAGCTGGAAATTTGGGTCTCACCCCTCCCATGAAACTACGCTGGTACAGCCATTTACATGACTACTAAGGAAGTTGCAGGTGGGGGCAGGGGGCAGAGGGCAGGAGAACAACATTAAAATTTGTAAAAAGCAACTATTCCGCATTAACCTGAACAAAATGAGGGCAGAGGTTAAGATGAAATGGATTTCCCAAAACCACTTAAGCAGGTTCACGACAGAGGTCTCCCCCCCAAAAAAGAGCTCCCTTTTGCAACAGATAAAGAGCAAGAGAAATGTGACTAGTAGTCATGCTGACTGCCATATACATACCATGATGGCCAGAAGAATGTTCTGGAACTCATTGCGTAAGCCCAAGGTGTACGTACAGAACAAAGCAAAGTTGCCTTCCAGCAGCTGAAAAGAAGTGGAACAGCCGACATTAAGGGAAGAGATCCTAGGAACTCTCATTAAATCTCATTAGACAGGGAGGGAGGTTCTTGATTTCTGCCTGAAGTAACATCTTTATCCTGTCTTTCCTCTATGGAGCTCACAGCAGCATATCTAGCTCTTTCCCCCTTATACAATCTATTCTCACAACTACCCAGTGAGGTAGGCTAGACAGAGAGAGAGAGAGAGAGAGAGAGAGAGAGACTGTCAAAGTGAGCTTCAAGGCCAAGCAGGGATGTGAACCTGGGTCTCCCCAGTCTTAGTCTAACCCTCTAACCACTATACTTCACTGGCTTGCCAACATCCCATAAGGGGTGGAGGTCCAGCTGCAATGTTAAGTGCACTTATGGGACAGGTGGAGAGAGAGAGCTCCTGAACATACCATATTGGTATGAATATAAGCCATCCCCAATTATAGGCTGTCCCTAAACAGTGTTATAAATTAGCCAGGCGTCTGGTGCATTTTGTAACTGGCATGGGCTCAATTGCAGCCACAAAGATCTCTGGATGCCAGGTCAGCAACTAGGGAAAGCAAAATGTCACTTAGAGAAGGATGTGAAATATTTTCCTTGAAGTATGAATTAGTTTTATCCTGGATTGTTTTATTTTATTTTTTAAAATGTGTTGTAAACCACGTTGAGATTTGTACTTTAAAATATAAAGCTGTATAGAAATGAAAGAACCAGAACAACCTTCATCGTGTGTGTGTTTGTTTGTGTGTGTCTACTAGACATTCTATTGTGGTGACCGTAACCTAGGCTTAAAGCTGGTATTTGGCAATTAGGATTATATATCTGAGTTTCTAACACTGCCCCAAAGATACCTTAAATCACAGCTCCTCTAAGAGTGTGCGTATACACTGAGGTTTATACAAACCAGATTTTTTGGTGGGGGCGGGCGGGGGAGCAGGGGAGTGCAGCCTATATTCAGACCAATACGGTAACTCCAGAAACAGAGGCGTATAAAAATAAACCTCTGTATTGGAACCTGGCGCAGTGGGGTGTGTGTGTGTGTGTGTGTGTGTGTGGAGGAGGGAGAGAAAAAGACGAGAAGGCTACTGGATGACTGCCACAGTGAAGGGGAAGGAAGGCTAACAAAAGTGGAAGAATTCAGCAGATTCCCCAAGGCCAGAGAAGAAAAGTCACTATTCACAATTGAGCTGGAAGTAAAAAAAAAGCTAAATGAGAAGTATTCAGCCAAGGAGCAAGTTCAGCATTGCTGCTATTGCAGCTTGTTGCTATTAGAGCAGATTCCAGAAAAGGTTAAGAAGTTTGCCTCTTTAGCAAGAATCTGGTATTAAGGACCCATAGACACCCTCTGGTAAAGTTCTTCAGAATTGTCCGGTGATTGCTTCTATACAAATGTGTCTATAATCCAGAAATAGATCTAGGTCTCAGTTAATTAATTAAGCCCAGCTGTTTTCCTCTGCTCCTCCTTTTGAGAGCAGCCCATTTCACAGCACTCTTTTTGTTAAACCTTAGTCCTTAATATGAGGCCTTAGTATGTATTAACATTCTAGCTAGTAGACATCTTGCCCTGGTTTCTGCCATATAGTTGCCTGTTTCAAACTAATTTACCTTGTCATTTGCTCAGTTTAGGATGCTATCTTGTATTACTGATAGAAACAGAGCTGAGTGGTCCTTCCCCAAATCTAGTCAGAAAAGTGCCATCAACTCAATGGGAACTAAAATGTTATTCTTCTTTTGCAATCTGCCTTCTAACACCACACTTGCTTTCAAGAAACAGGAGACAGACTAGGACACACAACACGCTTCTCTGTGGGTCTCTGATCAAGTTTAACAATTTGTGGCATTCCTATTACCAACCCAGGTTTCCAAAAGGCAACCCGAGTATTATTTAACTAAATGACCCAGGTTTCACTCTTAACTCAGATTTTGTGGGTGTTCTGTCTCCATTTCTGGAAAGAGTTCCAACAACAGTTGTCGTAAAAACCCTTCTGGCAGATTATGGTTATTATAACTTATCCCCTTTTTAACAAGAATACTCCTGAACCAATCTATTCTGTCTAAAACAGCACACGACTCTCCGTGTTATGACCTATACTAGGCAATCCAGCCTTATGTCTGACTTCTTAGCTACCAATCCCAACACAGGGTTCCCAGCAAAGTTGACAAATACTGTAAGGCTTGCATTTTATTTTGCCAAACCTGGAAAGAATCCACATGGCAAGGGAGGAAAAACAGTAAGTCTGAAGGCTGCAATGAAATAAACCAGCCTGTGATCTTTGGATGAAGGGCAGTATATTAATTAATTCAGCCAACTGGCTGGCCGCCTAGAGATATCATATAAAATCATCATCTTAAATAGAGGTGGTCAAGGCAGCCCATGACATAGGAACAAGCAAATTCCACACAGGGCTCACCGATGCAAATCCCAAGTGCCACCTGGCTAGGTGTTGTTGTGGATTTCAGGATTAGGATTTCCCCATCAAGGAAACAACAACGTTCTAAGCACTCGGGGAAATGGAAATTCTGTGCTCACCTGGGAACTTTTGTTCCTCTCAGGGAGAGAAGGTCACCAAGGTGGGGTGGGGAGGCCTCAAACAGGCAGACCTCACCTCAGTTTGAGGAGAGAAAGGACCCCAGCTCTGAAGCTGGGTAGTAACGGTGCATTTATCACTGGGAGAGGTGTGTGCATGTAAAAGATGGTTTCCTTACCATAAAGGCCAGAGAGGTAAAGAGTAAGCCAGCGATCAGCTTGACGTAGGGGCCATAGTTCATCACCAGCTTCAAGCTTTGGAAGAAGGAAACTGGCTCTTCTGGCTGGAGATCGGAAGACTCTGCGGGGAGCAAAACAGAAGCACTAGGTCAAGTTATTTCCCATCAAACCATCTTCAGACAGGCCTTACGCCGCTTTCATGCTAATCTTGTGCTGGTGCAAATTTTGTTTTGATTCTTATATTCTTATCTTATTTGATTTAGTGAATTGTCTAGAGGACACCGTTTAGTTAGGTGGTACGTAATTACCATAAATAAATTTGAATGCAAAATAAAATGCTGTGAATGAATGCCTTACAATGCCTTCATTATTTAACTTGTTTTACGTCATTTCATCATTTTGCTCCTGGTTTTAGGATCTGGCTATGAGGAGCAAGGAGCCCAAGGCCAAGCTGAGAAAAAAATTGCTCAGCCACCTCCCTAACATGCTTCCCACAGTATCACTGCTGTATAAGGGCTAGTGGCTGTTATCTCCTAAGAGCTAAACACTGACCCCCCCACTATCAGATCCTACCGTATATCCACCCTACTGTGGAATTGTACCTTACATGTTGCTGCATTTTAGCAAGAGAGAGAAAGCAAGAAGGGGCAGCCCTCAGAATGCCATGTACGTGGATTAGAAAATAAGGTATCTCACAGTACTACAGAGAACGGTAATGAATTTGCAAAGGCATAGAGAAAGACAACTTCTTTCCTGCAGTGAGCAAATTGTTACCAGTTCCTATAAGCTCAAGTCTGCAAATGAATTGGGAACACACAAAACTGCTGAGTCAGACCGGGGGTCCTTCTAGCTCAGTATTGTCCACACTGACTGGCAGGGGCTCTCCTGGGGTTCAGGATTCCCTCCCAACCCTACATGGAGATGCCAGGGATTGAACCTGGCAACTGATTCATGGCCCTTCCATTACGTTCCAGTTTTGCAGCTTAAAACCAGAGCTTGAAACCTTTCAGGTGGAATACGGCAAAGGGAATTTCCATGCCTTTGCAATATATTCTGATAGCCAAGGCGCTTGCTCTTTGATACTTCCATTACTTGCATATTTTGGATATATATTCCCCCTCAGCCCTACTCACTACAGTCGTACCTTGGAAGTTCAACAGAATCCGTTCCGGAAGTCCGTTTGACTTCCAAAACGTTCAGAAACCAAAGCACAGCTTCTGATTGGCTGCAGGCATTTGGACGTTCGGCTTCCAAAAATAGTTCGCAAACTGGAACAGTCAGTTCCGGGTTTGCGGCATCCGAGAGCCAAAACTAAGCTGTTCAAAAACCAAGGTACAACTGTATTTAGGCTAACAAGTCTATTTTACAATTTGTCCAGGACTCTATTACATCACATTGGGGCAGTGAGGGGAAAGAAAAAGCAAGCAAGCAAGCAAACCTATCAGGGAAATCTCCTTGTCAGTAAAACCTCCTCTCCATCATAAGTTTAGGACTGTTGACAGATGGATTGCAAGACTGGCAGGACTTCCCCTTCAAAGCTGGCTAATTATCATTTCACGAATGTGGAGTGTTTGGGTGATGATAGGCCTAGTTATCTAAGAAGAGGGACAATATTTCATAGCTGTGGGTGATTCTTTTGATAAGCCCCCTGCAAATGTGGCCTCCAGCACACCTTGAGGCTGAGTGGATTAAAAACCTCAAGAGGAACTTGAGTGACAAGGAGGCCTTTGAGAATGCAGAACAAAGATCGTAAGGGCCAGCTTCCCTCCCCAATGGCTGGTTTCAACCAGCAAAAGTCAGGGGCTTTTCCACAAGGAGCTGGAGTTACATAGGTGACACTTGGTTTATGCAACGGGAAATTCTTGCAATGGAAATTCTTGCCCTGTGTGTCATTTGCTCCCTTGAAGTCAGCCCATGTATTAAAAGGGATTGGCCCATGTTGTGTGCTGGCACAATAAGGACATCCATCCCCAAGAGGCAAGGAGTAGATTATTTTGCAACTATCAAACCAGCCTGATTACATGCCCAATGGGAAGAAAAGACAAAGCATGTCTCCTTTTTCTAGTAGGGGCGGGGGGGGGGGGGGAGAGATCAGATGCTTATACAGCACATTAGGAGTGCACCGAATGTTTCATGGATAATCCTAGTTCTCTCAAACCAGAAAAAACTCTATGAATTGGAAGTATGAGGTGGGTGGAACAGAAGAGGAATGCATGTGAGTGGAAATATGCTTATGAAAGCCAAACCATGGTTTGGTTGTTATATATTTAAAATAGGTCCATGTAAGTAATGGGAGGGGAACCGACCTCAGTGCCAGAGCACACAGTTTGCATTAAACAGGTTGCAGGTTCAATCCCTAGCATCTCCAGGTTGGGCTGGGGAAAAACACCCCGTCAAAAACAGTGGAGCGCTGCTGGCAGTCAGAGTAGACACTACGGTGTTAAGCAGTTTAATAATAACAATAATAAAACAACAACAATAATAATACTCAGCTAGATGAAGTAAAAGGCAGGTTTTGATGGACTCCTTTGGGAGCCAGTATGAATTCTGCACTACTCAACTTGCATCCATCTTTGTCACAAGCAAGCTAATTTCTTGGCAGATTATGCCTGGACTTTTCCTTTTGGAGTCCATCCCCTCCACCCACTTTGCAGAGGTCACTTAAGCTGTCCTTGCTCACCTCGTCTTTCTCGAACACCCACAGATAAGACGATAGCACAAAGAATATATATCCCACCGATGACACCAGCTGCGATCATGTAGGCATTTCTCTGTACAAGGATAGGAAACAAGGTTGGGGGGGGGGGACAAAGATGGCACATCCAGATGAGAGGTGATGTTTTCCAGAATGGCTTGGCACAAACGCATGAGCATGTGGGCATCAGGAGAGGAGATTGTGGCGGCTTTGCTTCTCCCTGGCTGCTCTGCAGTTGCGCTGTGCTATGCTAAACCATGGCTTAGCGCATTTCTCCAAGTCTGGACTTATGGTTTAGTCGGTGCTTCCAAACAAAACTTAAGCTGTAAACCATAGGGCAAACCTTGGTTACAGCTTGTGGTTCGCCTGAAGCCTCTATGCTCTTGCTAAGCCATGGTTTGGCATGGTGTGACGTGCAAAACAGGCCATCATATGCTTGCCTGACAATGGAGTAAAATAAAAGTCACCATTCCAGAAAAACCCAACAGCTTTTAATTATTATTACATCTGTATTTTGCTCTTTGCCCAAAGCACATTAAGCATTAAATCAGCACTATGAACAGGCTGAGATGAAAGTGTAGCTTTCCTTTCATATAAACTGACCTGGAATTCAATGGGAGGAGGGTATTAAAGCATCAAGAAACAGCATCGGGTTTGATTGCTGCACCTCCAGTTAAAAATGGTCCTATGGCAAAGTTCAATTTAATCAAGGCAAAAGAAACCTGGGATGATAGCATAAGAATGTAAGAACCCAAAGGTTCATCTGGTCCAAGGATGGGGAACCTGTGGCCCTTCAGATGTTACTGGACTACAACTCCCATCAACCACCATCACTGAGTGTTTTGGTTGGGGCTGATGGGAAATGAAGTCCAACAAGCTGGAGAGATGCAAATTTCCCATCCTTTTTGTAGTCCATCATCCTGTTCCACACAGTGGCCAAATGTCTCTGGGAAGCCCACAAACAAGACATGTAGCCAAGAGATCTCTCTCCTTTTGCTGCTGCCTAGCAGTTGGCATTTGGAGGCATGCTGCCCCCTCTGAACCTGGAGCATCAGTGCGTATTCAGCCTGGCTGCTAGACGGTCTTCTTGACGAAGAAGCAGGAGGAGGAAGAGTTCTCTCTCCAGCCCAGCTCTGCAGCCACGGGCTTCCGCTAAACCCCTTACTATATTATCCCAACCAAGCGGGATTAGGGAATGCTCAAAAGGGATCTGTACCGTGTCCGTGAGTGAGCCAGTGTCATGGGTGATGTTGACCTCTTCCATGGCCACTGAAGAAGTATTGCCAATGTTCAACCAGAGCGGGTCTGGAATGCAAGGCGTGCCCACTTTGCCCACAATTTGCCCTTGGATGGCTGTTCCCAGGACGGTCCCAAGCACTTCCACTGTCATGCCTGCAGGAAAGGGATGCACAAGCGGTGATTAGGGCTAGTAAGTGTACTGTTGAGCCAGAAATGGCGTATGAAAACCTAGCTCGCCCGGCAAGTTTAACTGTCACAAGTTGGCTAAACAAGCCCATTTCTGGTTTAACCTACTTAGCAACGGAGCCTATTTTGCAAAAGGTATTCAGTCATCTCCCAACAGTCTCCTGGGAAGCTATTTCCAAGTCAGCATCTACTTAAAATGGATATTCCCAAATACCCGGTGGGGTGTAGATGTTTGGACCAAGACGACTCAGGTTCAAAACCCCACTTTGACACGAAGATAACCAGATGACCTTGGGCCAGTGACCATTGCTCAGTCTAACCTAACCTATCTCACAGGGTTGTTGGGATGATAAAATAGAGAAGAATTAAGTATGCTGTCTTGAGTTTGGAAGAAATGCAGGAAACAAATATGGTCAATAAATAAATAAATATAGTAAATAAACATGAACAGAATTCAGCCCCTCATTTCCTAGTCAAGAGATAGAATTCCTTCATAATGTAGAAGGAAAATTGGATCCATGAGGAATGTGAACTGCCTCTGAGCCTCAGCCTTTTCTTGCAGTTGCTCAAAAGCTCCTCTTGACTGAGGTTACATTTTGGTCTCTGGTCTAAATATTAAAATTGTTGAAAATAACTCTTCTACATATTAAGAGGTAAAATCTGGACATTACCACTGTAGTGGGAGCAAAGAATTTAATTTTTAATGCTCCCCCATGTGAAAAATTGAGTGGCCTACTTTATTGCATATTGGAAGATTGCAAGTGAGGTATGTGAATTCCCTCCCCATAACATGCCCCCTACCTTTCTAAGTGGCACAACCAGAGTTCTATTGCCCCAGAGTTCTGTTGATCTGGGGCTGTTCTGACTAATGTGCAGAACAGCCCCAGATCAATGCAAATATTTATTTTTGTAATGAGAGGCTGATTTGCATCCATTCCAAGGAACTTAACAGTGGTGAACTTCCTGAAATTTGGGAGAGAGCAGAAGTGTGGGACAAATAGATCACCTGTACAGATATGCTGAGAGGAGAGATTTCTGAAAAGCTAATTATTCACAACCCGGGAATCTTAATGTCCAATTTCCATTGAAAAAAAATGTATTTTGAATGCTCCTGTCCTGCGTTTTCCAAACTGTCCTGCACAATTCATCCACTATCACTAGGCACTGAACACAAGCTTTGCAAAGGTGTGTTCTTCCTGTCTTAAGTAAACACTCCAAAGTAGACAGGAACAGCCTGAAAAGTCTCTCCCCTTTTCAGCAAGTTGCTTCCACTCAAATGCACACCTTACTGCACGTAACAACGATGACGCTCCATCATCAGCAAACGTATAGACCTCCAGCCATAGCAACCAGAGGCACACACCCAAAATTTCAAGCCTCCACATGCAACTGAGCGGGGCATATGAGCAAATTTCATGCTGAAGTCCCAGCAATTCACAGTTAAAACACAATTAGCTGGGGCAAGAGAGCAAAGGGTGGGGGGAAGAAGTAGAGAGACTCTCAAATGAAAGGAGCACAAGCATTTCAACATTCAAGGAAGTGGCTGTTCTTACGGTAGGCAGTGGCAGAATCTCGCTCACTCTGCTCCCTGCTAATGAACATGGTGAGGGCCGAGTACGGAACATGGAAACACTGCAGAGGAGAACAAGCAAATAAGGAAGTCAGACTACACATACCCTTGTCCAACCTGCAATTACAATATACAAAAGGAGAAGCGAATGCGAAGTGGATGCTATTTTAGGAGGGTGTGGTGGGGATGGGGTGATGTAGAAGAAGAGTTAAGCAAGGCTTCGGGGCCTGACGCGTGCCAAGCTTCTCAACCTGAAGAGGATAAACCCCCTACTGGACAAGCCAAGCCCTCAAAATAAGATAGGGTAACTTTAGAGACTGCTCAACCTGCAAAAATAGAGCATAACTCAAAATCTGCCCAACTTCCATTGTCTAGATCTACCAGGATCCCATCTTGTGGCAAGCAGGAACCCCTCCTCCTCAGGCATTTAAATATGAAAACCAGACCAAGAGACACAACAACATGTGGCAAGCACATGCCTAGCTAGAAAGGGCCTTAAATCCTTCTCAATGGTACTAGACTAGACTTTTCCCATTTACAGAAAGTTTTACATCAGCATTTCTCAAACTATCTGATGTGGTGGGCTGGCATCCCCCCCCCCCCAGTGTGCCAGGGGCCAGTAGCATATTCGGTCTCTGAAGCATCCCCCCCCCCAACCTGCTCTGTGGTGCAGTCACTGCAGACAGGCAGCCAATGGCTCACGGACCTGCTGAGGGCCTGGTGCTTAGAGGCAAACAAGACCAACATACAGACACCTTCATACGGTGCACACTTGTTCAGTTTTATTATTTAAGATTAGGGCTGGGCGATATCAGCTTTTCAACATCGCGCTGTATCACCAGCCGAACATTGTGGTTTGGCGATATACCGTGATGTTGGAAAAAGAAGATGCATTGGCCTTTGCCCAAGAGACTAGGTGACCTGCCCCAGCTCTCACCTTGACAGCCAAGGCGGCTTCCCCCAGGCTCGCAGGCTGGGACAATGCAGCTTGTTTAAACTGCTCAGGTGGGGGGAGAGAAGGTCCCCCCCCCGCTGAGACAACCCTGGGGCGCGCGCACAAGTGGCCATACCATCAGGGCTCCTTTAACTGCTCGTTGTGGGGAGTGGCAACCGCGCTCCCCTCAGGTGAGCACTTTCACAGAGCCACCACTGGCTTGCGGGATCCAGCACCGGACTGGGGGCTCCTTTAACTGCTCAACTGAGGCAAGGGCAGCTGTGCAGTTTAAAGATGCAGAGGGAGGAAGAAGCTGTATTGGCACCTCAGCAATACAGCTTGTTCCTCCCTCTCCATCGTATGAGGACAGGGTGGGATGGCGGTTTCACTCAATGACATATTGCTGGTGAAACTGCTCCCGAGTCCCTCTGCTAGCAGTGCCAACTGAAGGAAGGAACTCTTGCACTCGGTAAGTACATTGCAAGGGCTCTGCCAGGCCTACGTTCCGCAAAGCACACTAAGCAGAGAACTGGCAAAGCCACTTTCTGCAGGCATTGGCGATATACGATCAAGTTGCCCCACAGGGAATTCAGTTCCGCAGCTGGTCTGGCCACATCCCATATGATGTCAGGTGTGAGCTAAATGAGGTGCAGTTTTGGGGGAAATGGCCTTGTGGGCCAAATCTGGCCTGTGGGCTGGAAGTTTCCCACCCTTGCTCAAAAGCAAAATGCAGGATGTGCACAAGAAGATGAGGGACTCACTGTCACGAGGGTCTGGAAGATGCAGTAGAAGAAGAGATACCACATCACTTGGCCTTGAGAGATGTCGGGCACAAACCATATCAGGAAGTAGGAGATCACAGCAAAAGGAGTGGAGAATATAATCCTGTTGAAAATTGAAGCAAGATGAGAAAAACCTGATATAGTTTGGGGTTCGGAGAGAGGAAAAGGAAGAGAAAAAGTATAATTTGATACGAATTCGTCTGGTTTTAAATGCAAGGGACGTAGTCCATTGACCACCTCTGTAGAAGTTCTATTGGTCTTGACCTAACAGGGTTTTCACCTTCCTGTTCCTTTCAATGGCTGCTGGGGGCCACAGCAGTTCTCATTACCACGGAGGAGTTAAAGCTGATGTCAGTCGTGAACTTACTAGGCCGCCTTGGAAAAGCCACCAAATCCAAGTCCCTGACCTGAATCATAAAGGATAATTATACCGGCCTACTTTTAGGAAGCAAATACTGACACAATCCTTGGGAAACGCTAAGACAACTGGAAACAAAGCCAAGTATAATTGTCATTCTCTTCACTCTATGGCTGCGGTATGTATCCCTGTGAGCCCCGCCTCATGGTCAGAACCCTTGGTTCAGCTCCAAGGGATTAGATGACCTTCATATTCAGCTTGCAGTCCTACAAGCTTATAATTCCAGGCTTGTCAGTACTTGGGCGGGATTGGGTGGGTAGGAGAAGAGAGAGACAGAGAAACAAGAGAGAGAGAGAAGAGGCAAAGTTCCAGAGAGCATAAAGAGCTGAGTAAGGTTTTGTGCAGTGGGGCTTTGATCACACAGTCTCCCTCAATGAGGCAGCAGGAGCAGGCCTGCTGAGCTTTAGAACCTGTTGTGAGCAACAAAGCAGAGATTTGGCAAGAAGGTCTGTCTGCTTCAGGAGGAGCTAAGCATTTTGCAGGACTGGAAGGGAGGCAGGGGAAGTCTACATGCTGTTCGTGTGAGGCGAGGAAAGCTAAACCAAGGAACTAAAGTGCCACCTTCTCCACCCAAAGAGAGGAATTCACTACCTCCCTCACTCAGAAAAGAGAAGTGAACTGGCTTTCTTTGTGTATCTACTTCCCACGCAGGACCACATGATAAGACAGACTTTTAAACAGCCACTTGGCCATCCAGTGACAAAGAATTAGGTGTAGGTCGCCAGCCTATTGTAAGCCACAGAAAACTAGCATAAATAAGTGTGGCTTGAAAGGCCAAATATTTCTGCAAGCTAGTCAACTCAGGTGGGTTTATTTCCACAAGATATGCATTTCACAGAAGGAAAACTGGCAATGTTCAGAATTCCTCCCCCAAATAAGCTAAAGATCTACATACACCCCAGAACAAATAAAAACCCAGGGGGAAAATGCAGGCGGTATGCTGGAAAGCAGTGGCGTATCCTGCAACATAGGCAACTCGGGCTACAGCTTTCGCCCTTAACTGGAAACCTAGGTCTTTATCATTCAACACCTCTTGTGTCACTGGTCCTCCAGGAAACCGGAGTGCGTTGCTGTATGCACATTCTCTGTAGCAAGGATACGTTATCAACAGGACAGAGGAGTACATAGAGACGGAGGGCGGGGATTGGGGTGAAGAGACAAAGGGGAAGATATCCATTTATTCCCTAGGAGAGAAACTGCTAAATCCTTTTACAGGAAAGGACCTGGTGAACGTAAGAGAAGCCGGCTAGATCAAGCTAGTAATCGAGCATCCCGGTCTCACAGTTGTCTGCAGGAAGCAAGCCAGCCAGCCAGACCTGAGCACAACAACCCCCCTTCTCTGCCGTGGTTTTCAGCAACTGGTATTCAGAGGCACAGTGTCTCCGACAGGGGAGGAAGAACCATATTCCTCCTAAGTGAAGTTGGCCTAATGCTCGTCAACTTTTCCCAGCTCTTCCAGTCTAATAAGCATAGAGAATAGGGATCCAACCAAGCAAAGCTCCCCCCCCCCAGCACATAAGCAGAGGCTAACATGAGAAGAGTGGATGCTCAATCCAGGTGGGGTTGGGTTGGGGGAGGACTGGCTGGCTTTTTCTTGCCTTTCACCTGCTAGCTAATGCACAGAGGCAAAAATCAAAAGTGGCACTGGGTTACACACGTGTACACACCCTTTGATAACTAAACTCAAGGTTGCCAAGAGAGATCTAGAAGACACAACCTATAATGGGAATGTGCTCTTGCATAGGCCTCATTAAAATGAAGAGGAGCCTTGCAAGAACACATTTACTGTTCTCTCGGTGCAGTTCTCATTCGGTTCAATAAGCCTTTGTGTAGGACTTCTCTGTGGACTGTACACGCTAGAAATGTGTGTACTGTCATTTGGACTTTCTGCATTCTCAAAACCTCCAGCTTGTAGGCCAACCTTGGCTCTCCAGGGGGTCTGAATTGGTCTGAGAGGCAACTTTCCCCAGAAAATGCCCACCCATTCTTCAACTGACTTCAGTTATCTGATGGGCAGAAGGGGGAGGAGAAATCCTGTGCTGGCTGGGCATGAATGTTTCTCATGCAGGAACATAGCAGTATAGCTGAAATGAGCAAGATTCCAGACAAACCCCTTCCTGATTCAAGGATGGATTTGAATGGGAAAACAAGTTTTAGCAGCGCCTTGAAAGGGGCTTTGAAGTCCCAACTTTAGCACTTCAAAGCTCTTTGCACTTGATGTCATTGTGATGCCATGTGACCGATAGCTAGGGGGCTGTGCCCACCAGTCTTACTTCACATGGATTGTAAGGACTATGTGGGGCAGGAACTGCCCCACTGTTAAGTGAGTTCAAGGGTAACAAGAGCTATTGTGGAGAGCAAGTCTGAATTAGTTTTTCTTTTCTTTCTTTAAAAAAAAGGTTTCTGTGCACATATTACGTGGGCATAATAATAATAATAATAATAATAATAATAATAATAATAAACAGGCATGGGCAATCCTGGTAGAATTCTTAGGAATCTCATTTCTCTTTTGGTGGCTGCAGCCATGTGGCCGAAAATTAAATTCATCCCTCAGGGTGTGTGCAAAACTACTTTTCTCCATCTGGCAAGGGAAGCAGACGGAAGAGAGAAATTATTTTAATGTGACTCATGGGCATTTTGCCCCACAGCACACCAATTCCCATGACGCGGAATGGAAAGGTGACGTGTGTAGGACACTAAGACAATCACAAGCGTCCTGATATTCTGAACTGCTTCCAGATACTCAGTATTTGCATAGCCTTCCTCTTGCCCCTGGGCTTAAAAAAAAAATCCCCATAAACTCTACATAGCTTGATAGTGGTGCGGAAAGTGGAGGAGCGTCCACAGCCTACAGTGGGGATGCCCTTGTGGAGATCCCCTTGTAAAACACCTTTTTAGCAAGAATGACTGCTACAGAGTTCAAGACCAGACGGCTAGCTTCATCCGTTTCCTCCTCTCCAACCCATTCTAAGAGTGACAGAGTCTCCCAGCAGTTTGACTTCTAGTAACCCCCACCCGCTGATCCGCAGAGATATATGAAACAGGCTAGACAGGCACACACCCTGGCTCTCCATTGGCTGAGCTCGATGGTGTGTTCCACCGCAATCTCTTCTCCTTCCCCGCCCACCAGCTTTAACCATTTCCTCTGCCATGTGTGAAATAGCTTCCTTCCACACACATTGCTCTTGGGGAAAGGGAAAGAGTTTGATTTTCAGCTCGGCTTCAAATCAGAATGGAAAGTGTGAGGCGGGGGCGGGAGGGGGAGAGGAGATACTAATTTTTTAAAAAATTTAAAGCAGATTTTTCAAAAGTAACCCTTGCTTCCATGTTGAAGTTTTTAAAAGCAAAATTTTCGCTGTATTATTATTAGTGTTTTATTTATCATTATTAAGATTTATTAAATTTCTATACCAACCTTCATCCTAGGAGCACAGGGCAGTTTACAATGTAAAAAACACAAAGATACATAACATAGTAACAAGCAATAATAATACCGCCCAATATTATTACTGAGTTGTAAAAGCCTGGCTCAGTTTTCATGAAATGCTGCGCTAAACCACAGCTTAGCACAAATGAGCAAGTTTCCCAAGCAAAGATCACAGCCACAGTGCTTCTTCTGCTACTACCAGAACCAAACTGGGGCCAGACAAACCATGAGCTGTAACCAAGGTTTGTTCTTGGTTTACCACTTGTACAGAGAAGTCCTCAATCACCTACCACAGAACCCCTGCAAATCTTAATGGGGCACCTTCTAGGGTCCTCACAGTCATTGTCTGCAAATTGAGCGTGTGTTCCAGAAACACCCACCCACACCTGTGTTTCTCTCCTTGTGGCTACTTCTTGCAGAGGGAAGACGCCCAAAAGCCACTGCAGAGAACATGCTAAAGATGTTGTGGGCAATATTAGAATAAGGCTACAAGCCTTTGCATGCTAAGCCCCATCAAAGACAGTGGGACTTACTTCAAAGGAGATGTGGACAGGATTGCATCGCAGGAGCGAGCCCTGTTCCCTGCAAGCCTGACTGGAGAGACGTGCGATGGACAGGGAGCCAATTTTAGAGAGAAGCAAGCCGACTCAGGTTGATAAGGACACGACCTCATAAGCCATCTGCTCAGCCCACTTACCACATCAGAAATCACTAAACTTAACTGCTCTCTGACATGTTGCTATTCTGGACTTTCAATACTGTATTTGCAACTCATCATCCGAGATGCAAAAGTGAGGGAGAAGCACTGGTGCTATGGAAGGTATTAAGCAGACTCACACAAACTTCAACTCAACTGCAGGAAGCCTTGCCCAGAAATATCTCAGCTGCAATAAATTGCCAGGCAAGTTATTACTAAAATAGGTTTAAAAGAATCAGTTCTAGCTTAACAATGGCCTAGACAATGTCACAGCTAGGGTGTTCTGCTTTCTGTTCTGCAATGGGCCCGCTTACAAAAGATTTCCATGAGACCACGTACAGGTGAAGATGAAGTCACATTTGTTTCTACATATTCATTAACACATTCCAGACACTACTGACACCCCTTTTCTTTGTGAGTCATATTTACTAATGCCAACAAAGGTATCTGGCTGAGCCACTTTCCTAACTGCAGAATTTTTTTTGCTTCCCAAGAATAAACTAGTCCCCTACTCCCAACAAACTTAATTAGCCCCCACCCACTTCCTGCTGACATCCTGGCCAGCATTTTATTAGCATATCATAAAAAGCCAATGAGGATCTATATTATATACCGCTAACATGGGGAGCCTGGGCACTCCAGAGTATGTTGGGGTATAAATCCCATTACAGTCATACCTCAGCTCCCAAACGCCTTGGGAGTCAAACGTTTTGGCTCCCAAACGATCAAAAACCAAAAGGGAGTGTTCCAGTTTTCGAACGTTCTTTCGGAACCCGAACATCCAATGGGGCTTCCGATTGGTTGCAGGAGCTTCCTGCAGCCAATCAGAAGCCGTGATTTGGAAGTTGAATGGACTTCCGGAACGGATTCTGTTAGACTTCCAAGGTACGACTGTATTCCATCGCTGTGAAACAGTATATCAATGGCTAACTGCTTCTCCAATAGCCAATCCCTATACAGTGAAAACAGAAGTACCCTCCCCACAGATGGCATACTTTGGGGAGTGGGGGTGGGAATAGACATACGGACCCTAAGGCCTGCAGAAGTACCAAATCACCACCACAAGGACAACCCAGAGAACAACCCAATAAGCACAGAGCAGAAAGCTGACCCAGAAAATGAGGAGGCAAAGGGGGGAAGGGGATAGGAGATGGGAATGAAATGGAATTACATGAAAGGGGGCCCAGTTCACTGACAGGTACCCTGAACAGCAACATTGCACACAGCAACATTTTGTTGTAGGCCCCTCCAGTCTATGTGAGATGCCAACAGGAGTTTTTTCTGGCTTCTGACTGGCCTTCCTGGACTGAACCCAAATAGCATCATTGCATGCTGGCTGGGCAGACACCCGCCCTTTATTCCAGTCCTGGAACCTCAGCAAAGGCAAGAGCAGTGGGGGAGGGATATTTTGGGCCTGGGTTTAAGGCCAACAGAAGCAAAACAAAAAGCACCAAGTTGCACCAGCAAATTTAAGAACCCCAAAGGGTGGGGTGGAGAGTATAATCATGCCCTACCAAGGAAAGGCATATCTAATTTCTCCCTGGGCAGCTCCTCCCCACCCAACCCTTTTTCATATGTTATCTACCGTTAGGCCCTTCAGCCAGTGAGCAATGCAATCCTAGTAACAGATGCAAATGATTCCCAGATTCAGAGGCTGCCACTATACCTCAGCCATAACTAGCTATTGCTGTCAGCTGAAAGAGGATTGGGAAAGTTCAGACATAAGCAGCTGTCTCCTAGGAAGCTTTTCCTTATAAATCCCAGGGTGCTAGTTAGCCCTTTTTTATTTATTTTGCTGCAACTTTGATTTATCAAGAAGTTCCACTTTATCCATAGGAATCTGAATAGCCACAATGGTTTCTGGTCCCACTGCAAGTTCTAATTTAAGCACATTTCCACCCTTCAGACAACCTCTCTCTTCCCTAATTTCTCCAAGTACTGAAAACAGGAAATATTTGGGTAATATACTGCCTTCCAGATTCTTCTGCGCCAAATGTGTGAAGAGTATTGTGGAGGCGTAGGCCTGTTAGGAAAGAGGTGGCAGCACTCTCCTAGTCCTCAAGGGGGGAAAAGCTGCTGTTTGCCCAGGCACCAAAAGCTTTCCAGTCATTAACATTCTCCAGTATTAGATGGGGAAAGCTGTAGTTCGAAGGTTCTATCTCCAGAAAGAGCTGCAACCCTGCTTGACAGGGAGCCTCTGACTATCAGTGATCATAGCTGTCAAGTGTCCCTTATTTGAAGGGACAGTCCCTTATTCCAGCGCCATGTCCCGCTGCTGTCCCTTATTGATGGATGTCCCTTAAATGTCCCTTAAAGGATGTCCCTTAAATTTCAAAGGAAGCAGCTCCTCTCCCTCCCTCCCTTGCCAGCCAGGGAGGAGGGAGGCTCCAACTGTGTTGCTTGGCTGTGCTGCTCATCCAATAAGAAGTCTAAGAACGACTGGGGGGTGGAGCTTGCATGCCTTGTGTGTGGCTAGTTAATGCAAGCTGAGGGTTTTTTTGAATGCTGGACGCCATTTTGTTGCACGTGCTGCTGCAAACTTTGCAGTGCAAAGCCAGGCTGGGGAGCCATCTTAAGTTGAGGCTGCATAGGCCTTGTGGTGCATGTGATTCAGATTCTAGTCAGTTGAACCTCTGGTTACAAAGTTGGTTGGACAGTGTTCTCGAAGCTACCAGCATGAGTTTGACCAGACTGCAGGAGGACAGGAAGACTGGAGTGCCTGGAACAGGTGAGGCTGCAGGTCCCTTATTTTGGCTGCTGGTCCCTTATTTTCAAATCTGTAAGTTGACAGCTATGTCAGTGATGACAGTATTATTAAAAGGATCTGTTCCCCAGTTTTCACCTATACTAGGGGTGGGGAACCTCTGGCCTGGGAGCTAGATGTAGCCTTCCAGACTTAGCTATCTGGCCCTCAGGAAGTTCACCACACCCCTCACTGCCCCTGCATTACACCGTTTGGCTGCAATGTGTCCTTGCACTGGGAGACTGCCTCTTGCTTGCCTCAGGAGTTTCCCCTACACAGGAGACTAGAATGACCAATCTCTGCCATTAAAGTTCCACTCTGGGGTTCTTCCTCAGCATGCAGTTTTAAAAAAACAAAGCCTGTTCACAAATGCAATCTCTTGCCAGATTGAATAAGCAACCGTTCATCATCTTACTCTGAGTTGCTCCTTTACACTCCTGGTTCAGTCCAAAGATAATTTAAATAAAGCCCATTCAACCTCAGTCAAGCGGGGAGTGCATAATAAAACATTGCTAAATCCTTTGTTGGGCATAAACCAAATGCCTGCCCTCTCTTTTCCTCGTTATCAGACAGAATAACATAGCTACGACTACACACGGCTCATTCATTTTGCAGGGGAAGCCAAGAAAGAAAAAAGCCATTTTTCCAGCCTAGGAAGAACAGCCTGAATCCAGACTGCAGATAGTTAATCCAAAAACTTCTATTCCTGCAGCTGGTGGGTTCCTTTCCTCCCTCCTGATGGTTTAGAGTAATTTGTCCTTATCTCGAACAATGCCTCTTGCTTGCCTCAGGAGTTTCCCCTACACAGGAGATTAAGCCAAGGGGGCGCAAAATTGAGAAGATATATGAGAAGATTGCCAAATTTTGGCTTCATATGGGGAGCCATATTATGAACGATCTGCCCCGAGACAGGCCCCCACTCCATTCACAAATGCATGTGCTTCTCAACATAGTGACAAGCACTGTGCACTGACTAGCTTTACGAATCCCAAATTTCGGCAAAAACCAGCTTACCAGGGCATCAGGCGTCCAAGGCGACTCCATGACGTTTTACTGATGAAGAAACCCACCAGTGGATCAGTAATGGCATCCCATGCGCGGCCCACAAAAAGGATGATGGATGCATAGAAAGGGTCCAGCTATGCGGGAGAGGAAGAGATCCAATTCAGGTCGAGCAGCTTAAGACTGAAGGTGTGGAAGCACGTGAGTACAAGGTGAGGTTCCATCAGTTATGCTTTCCAAGTGCACCACTTGTCTTTGTCATCTCAGGTGGTCTTTGTCTGCCCCCACTAAGCTTGAACAACTTGTGACCTGCCACACATTACAGAAGCTCAGCAGGCAGGGAGAGATGACACCATAACACAAAGACCAGCAGCTCCAAAGTGCAGCCTGTCAGGTGCTTGGAAAAACCCCTCAGGCAGGCATCAAAAAACTGGAGGGTTTTCAAGCCCCAGGTGGCTAGTAGGGCACATTTTCCTTGGAAGAGGAACTTGTATCATGAAATGCTACTCCTGCAAACAACATAATTTACACTGGAATATAGAAAGCTGCCTTATACCAAGTTAGGACATAGATCCATCTAGCTCAATATTGTCTATTCTGATGGACAGTGGCTCCCAGGGTATTTAGACAGGAAGTCTTTCCCAGCCCTACCTGCCAGGGATTGAACCTGCGACTTTCTGCATACAATGCAGCTGCTCCATCACTAAGCTATGGACCTTCCTCCAGCAACAGAACTCTACCACTCTCTTCTGCTATATTGTTAGCTACAGTATATCCAAAGGCAGCCTTCATGCAAGGGCCTGTCAGGCATAGCGAAAACCCTTCTCCTGCCAACCTTCTGTTTCAATTTGAAGGTTACTCAGTGGAGTGCTGCATTCCATCACCTTTGGGCCACCCCTCAAAAAGCAAACATACAAGCTGGTCAGACTTACCTGAGCCACATCCAACAAGTAAATCTGCAGAAAGAAGCCCAAGGCGCAGCCAGTGATCTGGTAGGGCGCTCCGCCAATGGCATAACACACTTTGCTGCATATCGATAGCTTTCCTTTGCTTTCTCTCTGGAAAACAGAGGACAGGACGTACTAAATTAGCCACCATCATTCCTGGGCATATTCAGCTTCTTGTGGGAACAGCATGGCAACCTAACAACTTTGCAACTAGTTGAGGTTGTGTGTGGTTTTTTTAATCACTTTCTTGCATTTATCAGTCCAGAGCCTTGAATGACTTCCAAGCAATGTGTCATATCTGGTTGTATTAGCTCAAGGCATATTTGAGCAGACAGCTTTACTACTCCCCACTCTTACTAGCAAAGATTTACATTGCTCACTCAACGTTTGCAAACAGCTCTGCCTCAAGTGGACAATGGAGTTGCATCAAGGACGGACAACAGAAGTTGCCCAGAGTGGGTGTGTTGCTTGTGTGTGCGTGGCAATGCATTCCACACCACAACACTAATTTCCTGCTAACTCTCCCTATCTTTTTGTTCCCTGTCTATTCAGGGGGTGGGGTGAAATGTTTATTTTATACATCATTTACAGGCTGCAGAATATTTACTTTTAATAAGCTCATCATGGCATACAAATCTATGGTCATGACAAGCCTACTTCTTAAACAAGTAATAATTTCAGAACCGACCAATTTCCTAGTGGTGCAGCAATAGCATCATCATTCATTCATTAAAATGCTAGCACATTTGCAAAGCTAAGCAGGGTCTGGTATGATTTCAAATTGGATGGGGGAATGCATGTTGAAATTCCTGCATTGCAGGGGCTTGGACTAGATGACTTTCAGGGTCCCTTCCCGTTCTATGATTCTATGACCACTGCTTCCCCACCGCTAGCCTATATCTGGTTCTCTTAATGTTGGGGTGACTGAAGCCCAGCAACATCTGAGGAGCCACAGTTTAGCCTTCCCAACTGCCAGTGGCTCTCCAGGGTTTCAGAGGGGAGTCTTTGCCAGCCCTACCAGGCGATACTTGGGATTACCTAGAACCCTTTGTATGGAAAGCAGGTGCTCTCTCTCTATGTAGCAGCCCTCCCCAAAGGTAGAGCAGTGGACTTGGAAGACTACCTGGTGAACTTTGGCCAGTCAGTCTTTCAGACTAAGCCTACCTCACAGGGATTTTATGCAGACCAGACCAGTTATGCTACCCCGAGTCTTTTGGAAGACTGAATAACTCTAGTCCACACCCAATCATCATCAGCAGCAGTCCCAGGTAAGGCTGTGTACAGTGGTACCTCTAGTTACAAACTTAATTCGTTCGGAGGTCCATTCTTAACCTGACACTGTTCTTAATTAGAGGCGTGCTTTCGTTAATGGGGCCTCTTGCTGCTGCTGCGTCATCAGCACACGATTTCCGTTCTCATGCTGGGGCAAAGTTCTTGACTCGAGGTAACTCTTCCAAGTTAGCGGAGTTTGTAACCTGAAGCATTTGTAACTCGAGGTACCACTGCACACACAATTACCTTTAAAGCACACTCAAATCACATTCTTTCCTTCAAAGAATCCTGGGCACAATGGTTTACCCCTCATAGTGTCACCATTCCCAGCAACCCTTAGTGAAATGCAGTACCCAGAATTCCTTGAGAAAAATAATGAGCTTTGAATGTAGAGTGCGTACGCCGCTTTAAAGGTAGAATCCAGAGAGATCCATCATGTTTGCTCCCTCCCTTTCTCAAGAATCGGGGTCTTACAGTTAATCATACACACACACAATATCTACTCAGAAGGAAGATGCATTGAGTTCAGTGGGGTTTACTCCTATGGAGTTTGGGATAGGTGTGCAGCCTTAAACCTTCTGAATACCACAGAAGGGCTCAGATATGTACCTGCTACAGTTCAGTCTGTGGTCAGATAATGCAATAGTACTCTAACCAGTTACAGTGGTGCCTCGCAAGACGAAATTAATCCGTTCCGCAAGAGTCTTCGTCTAGCGGTTTTTTCGTCTTGCGAAGCAAGCCCATTGACGGATTAGCGCTAATAGCGCTATCAGCTGTTTAGCGGCTATTAAAGGCTTAAAGGCTTAGGGATTAGCTGCTAAAAGGCTATTAAAGGCTATTAAAGGCTTAGCAGATTAGATAAAGGGGGAAGCGAAAAAACTCTCAAGACTCGCAAGGTATTTTCGTCTTGCGAAGCAAGCCCATAGGGGAATTCGTCCTGCGAAGCAACTTCAAAACGGAAAACCCTTTCGTCTAGCGGTTTTTCCGTCTTGCGAGGCATTCGTCTTGCGGGGCACCACTGTACATGAAGTGCTTAAAGATATTTTTAAAAACCCACATAAAATGGGTTCTCTTCTCCATGAAGCATCTGATGACACACACTCTGCGGGTGCTGGCTGTCTAAACCAAGACTCCCACCACAAATATATAGTATTTAGCCATATGAACCTTTTCTGGAGAGAAGCACCACTTTGTTTCCATCATAAGTACCACCTGCGATCCAAGTCCCCATTTCCTGGCGGCGGTGCTCTCTTTAAGGCTGCACTCCTAAAATGCACTTCCTTCCATGAAAGTAAGCCCCATTGATCTCCATATACTTCTGAGTAGATATGTATAGGTTTGCAGCACAATTTTTTAAAATTTCTACATTGCACTGTACGGCTGGGATGGGGAAACTGTGGCACTCGAGATGTTGCTGAACTCCCACCATTCCTCATCACTGCCTGGGGCTGATGTGAACTGGAGTCCAACAACACAAGTTCCCTCTGCTTGCTTCAGAGCACTGAAAAGCCATGGGCTCCCTCAGAAAAGCTTCAGAGCAGCCCCATAAAGCAGGCCAGTATTACTATCACCATTTTTCAGATGAGACACAGCTGAGACACAGATGGCAACCCACAAAAGCCTACCTACTGAATCTATGGCGGAAGTGAGATTTGAATTGGTGGGCAGGGAAGACACAAACACACATTTCCTGCCTTACTCTTTCAGTAAGATTACTCAGCATAAGCTCCACGTGGCTGCCTGGCAATGCAACTGCTCCATCTATCTATACAGTAAACTTGGAAGCAGGAAAAAAGAACAATGCGCACAGCTCCCTGGATCCACTGGACCATATTTAATCTAGAAGATTAACAACGGGGGATTGGTTTACAGATAACAAGCAAACTTCTCTAGAAAGCAGCAAAACCAACTGCTTTGAATGGAGGCAGTGGACTAACACAAGCCTAATTCTGCAAAGCAATCCAGCTGCCAAGTTTAGCGGCACAGCTGCATTTGCAGGGAGAACAGCTGGGGCAGCTCCCCACCCCCCAAGCCCCGGAACTGGCAACTGGAAAGGGAGAGGCCCTGAAAGAGACACGTACTTCAACGGCACTGGTGTACACTTTCCCCAGGAGGCGGGCTTCATCAATAGCGCCCTGTGGGAAGTTATGAGCTACTCTCACCCCATGCAGCACAGTACAAGGAGCTGCTGTAACAATGGGTCTCCAAAGCCTTTGCAAGGAGTAAGGTCTGGGCTTTCCACTATCAGAAGCCAATCCTGATACTAATTCAACAACAGGCAACCTTGAGCAAGGCACCTCTGTGCTTCTCGCCTTTCCCTTCTGTTGCAAGGAGTCAACATCTTCAGTAGGGATGTTGCAACTAACACTGGAAGAAGCCTGCAAAGCATTTCATGGGGAGGGGATGCTTTTGCTTCCATCAGCTGTGTGGCAGGCTCCATAGAATTGCTCCTCAGGAGCACTTTAAAATGGCAAGAATCCCACCACCCCTTTTAATAACTCTGACCTATGTTGAGTGATAATATTGCTAACTCTGAAGCAACCACACATGCTCTTGTAGCATATTGACTTTTTGCAATTCGAGCTTGAATGAATGGACCTTCAAATCTTATAGGGGGGAAACACACACACTGCAAAATAGCACCCCTGCTTTATACAAGAGGCTGGTCCCATTCAAGAAGTGTTGTGTTTCTCTGCTTTTAACCCAGGGTTCGCTGAAAGTCATTCTCTCTAATCCTAGTAATGCAGTTCATGTGCTGTTCCAAACCCCTTAAATTACACTCCTCCTTACTTCATTCATTCACACAAGAACCTATTGGGTAGGTGAAATTTCCACACACATTTTGCACCCATTCAACATACTGCAAACTGTTCAACGATACCCTTTCGAGTCCTGGAATAAGGATCAATACCATCTACTATCAGTACTGGCAGTTTTTATTTAGTGCCCAGGGCTATTATCTTTTGACCAGCTTTCATCTCTGCCCCAGATTCTCTAGTCTTCAAGAGTCATGAGGAAGCCAACAGGTCAAAATCCCACCTTGGAAGTCATGGTTAGAACTCAAGAAGAGTCCTTCTGGATCAGGTCAGTGGCCCATTTAGTCCAGAATTCTGTTCTCAGGGACCAACCAGATGGAAAGCCAAGACCAGAGTCCAGCAGCAAAACTCTCCCCATTTGTGATTCTCAGTGTTCAGAGGAATATTGCCTCTGACAGTGGGGGAGAAGGAACATAGCCTTTTCCTCCAAAGTTTAGACTCTAAACTTTAGAGTTAAAAACTAGACATAGACACCCCCCTTCCATATAGTTTACAAAAACAAACGTAATAAGTTTGTACATTAGTACGAACACCCTATAAATCAGTTATTACTTTATGCTCCCTATCCTCTTTACTTCCACCTGGACCTCCCACTCCGCTATGTATATATTTTAAATGCATATGAGAAAGTGGGAACAAGTCTGATTTTCTAGTTGCCAGGAAGCTAAAACAGCGCGAGCGACCCCCACCCATCGAGAGTAAAGCGAACGCGGCGCCTTTAAGGAAAGTTTGCCCTTGTCTCTAATGAATGAACTTGAACGGCTCGGAGGCCTTTGGAGCCGATTTACTACCACTCGAAGGTTGTGGGGGAAGAAAGGCAGGGGGCGCAGCACCCCTCGCGCAGCAGGCGGTGCGAAACTTCGCAGCGTCCCGCGCAGAGAGCTCAGCCCCGGCGCCTCCCGAGAAAAGCCAGCCCGGACAAAGCGCCTCCAACCCGCCACAGTCCTCATCCGAGATGTGGGCCGTTCCCCTCCTCTGATCTGGTCGGATAAACCTTATAAGGAGTCCTCCCGTCACCACCCCCACGCCCCTATCCCAACGGGATTCGGATCTGCCACATCGCTTTGACGCCACGACCCGTATCCCGGCGTTGGGGCGAATCGCCGGATCTATAGTGTGCTTTCTGCTCCAAAGCCTCGCTCTTGCACACACAATGCACGGCCCTTTGAAGAAGAAGAAACTCCCAAAGGCCATCCGGATCGAGCCATGCGGATCCACTCACGTGGCAGCCCCGGTCTTCCTAGCCATGCCTCCTCGGGAGTAACGCCCGATGGAACTCCCCTCCTCCCGAGCCCAGCGCGCGAGGATCGCGGCTTCAAATCCCTTGGGGATTTCTAAACTCCCCACCCCGGCCCGACCTCCCAAAGGGGAACCCCTCCCCTCCGCTCACATTTTTCCTTACGTACCTTGGGACGTATCAGTTCTTCTTGCTTCAAGATACTTTGCTGCAAAAGACCCGCAGTTGCAACGCTCTCCGCTCCTTCTCCTTTGGCCATTTGGCAAAAAGAAAAAGAAAAAACCAACCCCAAACCCTGACCCGATCCCCTTCACTGGTCTTTCCTTTCCTTCTTTGCTTGCTTCCTTCGCTTTTTTCTTCTTCTTGTTGCTCGATTGGTTGCCTTTTCGCAGGTGAAAGTACCCCGTCGACAAAGCAGCACCACGTATTTGATGGCCAGATAAGCGCGCTCGCCAGAACAGAGCGGCGTGGCGTTTCCTTTCGCTTTTCCCAAGGCGAAGGTCCCGCTCGAAGCCGCCCAAAAGTGAGTGAATGAATGAACGGCTCGAGGCGGATAGAATTTCATTCGCACGCTTGCAGGCGGAGCCCCGCCCTCTTACTCGTGAGACACGCCCCCTCCCCTCGCCCCAGGGCTGGAGGGTGGGGGCTGGCAGCTGCCCAGCGCACACCCACCAGCCCTGATCCTCTTTTGCTCCTGTGCCCATAATTGGAGGCGCCACCCAATATAACGCGAGAGCCAATCAGCGGCTGCGCCGGCGCAAACACCCCCAATTTACCCATCGCCTTCTGCCTGCCTTCTCCTCGCCGAAGCAGACAATCCCGGCTCCTAATTTTAGCCCCTCCACCTGCCTGCCGATTTTACATTGTGATCACGGTTTTCCGAAGTCCCTGAGACATTATTCTTAAACTGATCTAATCCCGTCCGTATCCCCTGCTGCTAAAAGCGTCAGGCTTTGCCAGATCGCTTACACCAGCACTTCCCAAATTTGGGAGGTGCAAACTGCTTCCTGAAATAAAGAAAAGAGGCACGTCTTATTCGTATCCTCCCCATCCCCAAATATTCATTTATTTAGGCCAGGAATGGGGCTGCAGACATTGCTGGACCACAATTCCCCATCATCTGGACTCATCAACTGAGGAGGGTGGTGAGAGGTGGAGCGAAACCACATCTTCTTTAGGCACTCTGAAAATAGACCTTGTTTCTAGTGCACTGATTATGACATAGGAGCCAACTCCAGGGGGCAGTGGGTGCTTGGGCACCCACAATAATATAATTCTGGGGGCGGGGCACCCATAAAGTCAATGAGAAAAGCTGGCAGATAGCAGCTCAGCTCCGCCCTCCTCAGCCAGCCAGCGAGGCACCCTTTCTGGGGGGGTGAGGGACTCAGATGTGGAGGCAGAGTCTCTCTGCCTCCGAGCCTGTGGAAAAGGGTGCCTTGCTGGCTGTGGAGAGGAGGAGGAGGAAGAGGAGCTGCTGTTAGCTGCAGCAACACAGACGTATGACATCACACGCACACTCCTGTACGTAGTGCGTGTGACATCACTATGTGCAGGCGTGTGCTTGTGACATCACACGTCCGTGTTGCGCAGCAGGCACCCACAATCCTGAGGGCGAGTTGGCACCCCTGGATTATAAGGTGAAGTGAGGTGTGTTTGCAGGGCATGATTTGGTTAAAGTTGGAAGGAGTCAGGGATGTGGCCTTTAGATGCTTTCAAGGCAGCCATTCTTAGCCTGCTCCCTTCCAGATCTTATGGACCACAAAAACATGTAGCAGTTCCAAATGAGAATTTCTACAGAAGGTGTTCTGCTGAAAACTTGAGAGAAGTTTGCTTCCCTTCCCCCACCCGCCCAGTCAGTGTGGCACAGGTGGTTAGGCCTGACCATCTTACTACTGTGTTATGTGTATACAATGTGTGTGTTTACGCAAAACATCTTCTTCCCTACTGTTGACAGCATCAAGGCTGCTTCAAACATGATGCATTCACTACACAATAGCCTAGCAACATAGGGAGCTAACTACCGTATTTTTCGCACCATAGGACGCACCGGTCCATAGGACGCATCAAGTTTTTTTGGGGGAAAATAAAGAAAAAAAATTTATTTCCCCCCCAGGCGCTTGTGGGGCCGGCAGCGGGGAGAAGCGCTCTTCTCCCCGCCGCCCGCCTTCAGATCAGGTCCGGGGACAGCAGGAAGACGCGCTGCGTCTCCCAGCTGTCCCCGGGCTGGGGGCAGGCAGCGGGGAGCGCTCTTCTCCCTGCCGCCCGCCTTGAGATCAAGTCCGGGGACAGCGGGAAGACGCGCTGCGTCTCCCCGCTGTCCCCGGAGCTTGGGGGCAGGCAGCGGGGGAGCGCTCTTCTCCCTGCCGCCCGCCTTGAGATCAAGTCCGGGGACAGCGGGAAGACGCGCTGCGTCTCCCCGCTGTCCCCGGAGCTGGGGGCAGGCAGCGGGGAGAAGCGCTCTTCTCCTGCCGCCCGCCTGAGATCAGGTCCGGGGACAGCGGGGAGGCGCGCTGCGCCTCCCAGCTGTCCCCGGGCTTGGGGGCCGGCAGCGGGGAGCGCTCTTCTCCCCGCCGCCCGCCTTCAGATCAGGTCCGGGGACAGCGGGGAGACGCGCTGCGCCTCCCAGCTGTCCCGGGCTTGAGGGCAGGCAGCGGGGAGAGCGCTCTTCTCCCTGCCGCCCGCCTTGAGATCAGGTCCGGGGACAGCGGGAAGACGCGCTGTGTCTCCCAGCTGTCCCGGAGCTTGGGGGCAGGCAGCGGGGAGAAGCGCTCTTCTCCCTGCCGCCCGCCTTGAGATCAGGTCCGGGGACAGCGGGGAGACGCGCTGCGCCTCCCAGCTGTCCCCGGAGCTTGTGGGGCCGGCGGTGGGGTCTCCCCGCCGTCAGCCTCCAAACCACTTCGGGAGACAGCGGGATGGCGGCGTTCCGCCTCCCTCTGTCCCCCGACCTTGTGGGGCTGGCGCTGGGGCTCTCCTGAAGCCTGGAGGTGAGAGGGGTCGGTGCGCACCGGCCCCTCTCGCTCTCCAGGCTTCAGTGAGCCTACATTCGCACCATAGAACGCACACACATTTCCCTTCATTTTTGGAGGGGAAAAAGTGCGTCCTATAGTGCGAAAAATACGGTAATTCCTGTTGGAAGGGGTTCCTTCTGATAATGTTAAAGTCAAGTAGCCAAGCGGGAGGTGAGTGGAGGTGTTGCTTAGCAACTAGGCAGACTGGCATTTGCTCTGATTGGCTGTGCAGTTTTGAGGGTTTCTCTCCCCACCAAATATGTTTGGTTAACTGTCCCTCTGTCCTGAAAAAGGCCTGAACTAAGAAAGTCAAAACCTGTCTGTTAATTTCTTCCCAGATTACACTGCTTTGTGGAGTTTCCTCATTAAAGTGTTGTCAAGATTTCTTTCTGGAATCCATCTGCATTGTTTAAATGAATTTCCTAACAATTCCAAGACAAAACGTTGGCTCATTTAGCCCACTAATGTGTACACTGACTGGCAGCAGCTCTCCAAGGTTTCAGACAGGGAGCCTCTCTCGGTCTTCTTTCCAGATGAATTTGAATTCATCTGGAGATGGATTGAGTTTAGGACCTTCTGCATGCCAAGCCTATGCTCCATCACTGAGCCGCATTAAATGCTGGGTAGATTTCATCATGTAACAGCTGCACTTTATGCACCATTTCCCCCTCTGTGTGTTCACATGCCAGAAGACTGCAAGTAGCCACAGAGTGCTAATACTCTTTCTAGTCTGAAAGTGGGTGCCTCTGAACAGAAGCACCATGAGAAGGAGTTGAGTGGGCCTCATTCTGTTGTTTCTTCCTAGAGTTGCCACATTTATGTGCTTTTTTATACTGGTTATCTTAGGCATCATGTGCCATTGCTCTGGGCAGACTTTTAAAAAGTCCTTAAGGCAAAGTGATTCTAAGAAAGCACAGAGTGCATTTCACCCTTGATGGAGAAAACACTAAATTCATAGTTCTCCACGGCTGAGGTTGGCCTACCCCAATGAGCTACCCTCCCTCTGGGAAATCACAAGTTTGGTTGATTCATTAAATGATTAATTACAGGAGTGGAAGCTCTTCTGCGGAGCCATGCTCTTGACACAACCGCCACCACCAGCCAGGGCAGAGTGGGGTCAGGCCAGGGCAGTGGTGATATCAAGGCTACGCGGAGCCATCCCATCTGTTGCTAACCACATTGCCCCCTTGATTAATTTAATAAATTAAAATGCCTACACTGAATTAAAAACATTTCTTTAATTGGCTGATTCTGTCATGCTCAGAATACAAGTCCGGAATACCAGCAGCCTGTCATGACTGCTAAATGAAACTTCCCCACTAAATGTGGACACCCTGTTCAAGGCAAGTCCCTCCAGACACACTTCAGGTGTGTACAGTGGTGTAAAGTTAGAGGTGGTGGCACAGGGGTGGCTCCCCAGGGGCAAAATTGTTAGGTATGCAAAATTTCAGCATCCTGTGCTGCCTCAATACAGTTGTGTGTGTCTATTACTGGGCTCTGTTGAAAACGGCTTCTCCATGCAAACCAGGAAGTGACCTCTCCAGACAAGAGAGCAACTCTTCTTTTCGTATCGCTGTGGCTGCGATCTCCTAGGTAACGAGGATGCCATTAGGCAGCTGAATGCGCATGCATACTCTGTCCATTTCCCTCCATCCCACCTACCCCCTCTGCGTGGCCCCGGGTGCTGGCAACCCACGCTACACCATTGGGTGTGTAAGTCACATGTACAGTGCGTCCATAGGCGCAATGGAATGCATACATTACCTATCAGCATCTCATTAGTTTTAAGGAGGCCCAAATCTGGTCTGGATGGGTGACCCCCTGGGAACCACATGTCCACTTCCTTGAATTCCATGACAGCAGAACAATGGGATTGAAATGTAAAATGAATAAATAAATCCAGGTCCAATTCAAACTCTTGTTTTAAAGACTTATGAAGCTCAGGACCCCAATAACTCAAGAACCACCTCTCTCCATATGAACCAGCGATCGTCATCTGAGGCCCCCTCCATGGGAAGTCTGGTAGGTGGCAACACAAGAACAGGTCTTTTCAGTGGTGGCTCCCTGCTTATGGAATGCTCGCCCCAGGGAGGCTCGCCTGGTACCTTCATTACATATCTTTAGGCACCTGGCAAAAACATTCCTTCTTCAAGAAAAGGGTGGGATGTTTTAATATAGATTTGTGGAGTTTTTTGCTGCTTTCCATTTGTTTGTTGCTTAAAATATTGTATACTTTGCGTTTCAGCGGTAAAGAAAAGACTAATAAATTTCAATATTAACTAATTACCGTATTTTTCGCTCTATAACACGCACCCGACCATAACACGCACGTAGTTTTTAGAGGAGGAAAATCCGTAGGCATGCCACCCGTAGGCATTCCCTCCATAACACGCATAGACATTTCCCCTTACTTTCTAGGAGGAAAAAAGTGAGTGTTATGGTGCAAAAAATACGGTAATTAATTCAGCCACATCTCCATCCAAATGCTGATAGGAATGTGCATTAAGATACCTACCTGAATGTGCATCCATCTGATGTTGATGACTTACAGGTGCACATCTGATTTACTGCTGCCACTCCTATGACATATGCATCTTCTTTGTACTGGGACCTGTGCACTTATCCAAGCATTTTCTTAATCTACAAAAATGTAACACTCTGAACAAAAGCTAGCTGAGCATCAGAACTCCTTGTTCTCGAATATCTCTGACAGCTGGATCAGAGTGCAGGAATTCGACAGAGGACGTCTTGGGAAGAAAATGACTCTGGGTTATCTTTGCGCATGAGCCTTTGGGAACCTGTTGATCACATTTATCTGCTCTTTGCACCTGTCTGGGCTTAGAGGGGAAATTATTTCTAGCATTTGGTCATATCAAGTCCTTTACGGGGGGAGGGGGTGAGTTGCCATTGGGCATTGCTGTCATCTAGCACCAAACCTCTTTTCCTCATTTAGCAGATGTTCCATCAGCTGACCAGATTGATTCCATCTGCCATAAGATTGATCTAAACGTTCCTCCACACAAAAGTCATTCACAGTCTTGGCAAAGCGAAGTTATAAAGGCCGGTCTCTTTGAGAGAAGACTTTCAGTGCAGAAACCTGGATTCATTGCTAGACCAGTCGATGGAAGGACGGGGAAGGAATGTGCGTAGATTTAAATCACCATTCTCTTCCTTTGAAATGTGGAATCTTCCTGTCATTTCCTGGTCACCAGATGATGACTTCAGACATCATGCGTGGTGAGGGTTGATAAGAAAATGCTTTAGGATTACATAAGCTGTGGTCAGTTTTGGCAATGCAGGAAATAACAGTACATTTATGGCAAATATTTATTTTAAAGGAAAACGCGTACACGTGCGCAGACACACACAAAGGTTTCCATGTAGATTGCTACTTAATGTCCAGCTAATATAACCACCCCATTTTTATACTTAAGTCTTACATATTTCTGTGAGCTTTTATTATTTTTTTATATATAAAACAGATTTTATTCATATTTTCCACACAACAACACAAAAGATATCGAAAAATAACAATACACAACACACAAAATTCAAAATTCGAAAACTAAAGAAAGCAACAACAACAAAAAACAAAAAAACACACACAATATCTTTCATATCTTTCAAGTTAATATTATAAACACCAAAACAACAACAACAAGACATTGCTGTGAGCTTTTATGCATTGCATTTATTACTACATTTATACAGGGCCGGCCTGTGCATGAGGCAGGCTGAGGCAATTGCCTTAGGCAGCAGAACTGCAAGAGGCAGCGCCTGCAAGCAGCCTGCCTGCCCCACCACCTCTGCTGCTGGTGGTGGAGAACTGGGGCAGCAGTGGCAGCAGCTTCCAGTGAGATCTCATAACATCTTGCGGAAATCTCACGAGATCTTGCATACTCCACAAGATTTCGTGAGATCTCGTTGGAACCCATCAACGTTGCTGCTTTGTGGGTGCCACCACACAACCCACACAAGGAAGTCTTTGATCGCGTGCGTGGACCAATACCTTCCGGTTACACCTCAGGCAGCAAAACAGGATGCACCTTGCTTTCAAGAAGCTCTAGGTTCTTTCCCCTTCATATTATCCTCACAACAACCCTTTGAGGTAGGTCCAGCTGAGTCTGTGACTGACTCGAGGTCACCCAAGTGAGCTTCATGGCCTGGTGGGGATTGGAACTCAAGTCCTAATCTGACACACTCTAACTAAACACTTTAAAACTAAAAGCAACTGACAGTAGGGAAGAATGAAATCAGGAGCAGATATAGGGTAGTAAGGTAAAGGTAAAGGTACCCCTGCCCGTACGGGCCAGTCGTGTCCGACTCTAGGGTTGTGCGCTCATCTCACTCTATAGGCCGGGAGCCAGCGCCGTCTGAAGACACTTCCGGGTCACGTGGCTAGCGTGACGAAGCTGCTCTGGCGAGCCAGGACCAGCGCAGCACACGGAAACGCCGTTTACCTTCCCGCTATAAAGTGGTACCTATTTATCTACTTGCACTTAGGGGTGCTTTCGAACTGCTAGGTGGGCAGGAGCTGGGACCGAAAGACGGGAGCTCACCCCGCCGCGGGGATTCGAACCGCCAACCATGTGATCGGCAAGCCCTAGGCGCTGAGGTTTTACCCACAGCGCCACCCGGGTCCCTTTTAGGGTAGTAAGAAGACAGAAAACCGGTAAGTTGCTTAACTCTTTCCCTGCCTGCTATCTGCTCAAAAATCCCTCAACCCAACCAATTTATCTACCCACAGAGGGGGGAAATTGGGGGAACAGCTAATCATCTTTTTAATATTTGCATACTTTTTATATGTATAATACTGGAGTCAGGCAAAGCTCCCTAGTGATCGGTTTCTCCATTTCAGAACCACTGCTTTAATCACAGGGTTTATTAACCTAAGATATATCTCCCTCAAAGTGTGTTGACTCTTGCCAGTAATTTTAGAGGAAGCTGGCATCAGGCAATCCTCTCTCCTGGTGCTATGGAGAGGAGGAACAGCTGAGGATTTGTAGGCCAATCATAACATCCATAACTCTTCCAAGGAAGGATGACTGGATTCCCAAGATCAGCTGATAGGAACAATGTAGAGAGGAAATTCCTCTGGCAGACAGTAAGCCTTTGTTTCTGTAAGGGCTGCGCAACCTTGTTTCATGTCCCAAGATTGCTGGGAGGTGTTCAGGGAGGCCAGATGTCCTACTTTGCCCTCTGTCTGCTCTGAGCCCAGTTTAGAGATAAAGAACCCCAAGAAGGGAGAGAAGGAAGGGCTTTGAAGTTGCGCATCCACAGTTAGTTTGCACCTCGACAGCAGACAGAGCATGCACCCTGATCACCCTTAAGCCACAGACCTCTCCCATCAGCTGCCTGGCTGGTGCTGACCCATGGCAGGGCCTTTTCAGTGGTAGTTCCCCAGTTGTGGAATGCCCTCCCTAGTGCCTGTCTCCATCATTATTAACTTTCAGGATAAATTTGAAAACATTCTTGTTTATGCAGACATTTGACAGCAGAACAATACTTTTCCGGCCCAGAGATCACTGTTTGCAAATGTTTTAATAGAGAAAGTTCACATGGAAATTCGTCAGCATTTTAGTGCAAATTTCTTCTAATATAAACACTCTTGCAAATGTTCCCTAAAACAATGCAATTTTGTTTCACTAAGATATGTAATTTTATGCACACTTTATGCCAGTATATATACATATTTGCACACATTACGTGGCTAGAGGACCCTATTGCTAAATTTAGAGAAGTGCTCACTGAAATCATCATCTTCTAGCCCCTGATAGTGAAGATGCATCCTTTAGCTACTGAGAAATCAAAAGGCATGAAGGTGGTGTCAGTGGTGAAAAACCGTCCTGTCACTTTGCCTGACCTGTAACACTGTTATGGGTTAATGGCTCTCAGCATCCTGTCATTTCCCCTAAAATGTACATGCTTGCCCTCCGGCACACTACATAGGTAACACAAACTTAACCTGCTCCACAACCTTTACTATCACTTGTGATCACACATCATTACACAGTTCTGCAACACACCTACAACACCTCCTGATCACTGGCAGATTGCACAAAGCCACTCAGGTCTGCCTCACCCAACAAACTTCAGGGCCAGCATGAAGCAATGTGAAATAACCAGTACTTGGGATGGCAGACTCCATGTGCGTGGTGTGATCTGTCTCCATCCAATCTCCATTTTTGGTGCCCTTCTCTTAAAAGTCGAGATGGCACTGGGATGAATGGACTACATTGCCCAGCTCTTGATGACGATGCAATTCTCCCCCTCTCTCCCTGCTTATCAGACCTATCATCTGCATGGATTATTTGGGGGGGGGGGAGCTGTGTATTTGTGCGCATGAGAGAGAAAGGATAGCGACCACACCCACTACTGGCATGTGGCCCCTGGAAGGTTCAACGGTGAATGTGGCCCTTGGACTCAAGCAGGTAAACTACCCCTGGTGTACACAATCACATAATAATCTCATTCGCAGTAATCAGATGTCCAAACACACAATGCAATTCTCTCAGGTTAGGCTTGCTCCTGTTCATAATCTCTGTGGGATTCTGATATACTTAACAGCCTCACTCACAGTAATCAGATGTCCAAACTCACTATGCAATTATCTCGAATTAGGGTTGCTCCCGTTCATAAACTCTGTGGGTTGTTTGTAATGGGGGAGCTCTCTCTATAAGAAGTAGCAAACTGTTTTATTGGGTCTGAGGCTACCTAGTAAGTTAAAGGCTAAGGCAAAATTGGGTGACTTCTCAGCTCACACAGAGCCTGCTCTGCCATTAGGCAGGGTGAGGCAGGTGTTTTGGGCAGCAGATTGCTTGTGATGGTGGTGTCAGGCAACGGCAGTGAAGTGCTGGAGCAGAGTTGTGCGTGTCACGCTGCCTAGACTGCTGTCCTCAGCCTGGGAGGGCTATGGGCAGGTGAGAGGATATGGCCTAGGGACAGCCCCAAGGACCAGACAGGCTGCCCTGGGGGGCTGGATTTGGCCCAGAGACCCAATGTTCCCCACCCTCAGATTAGGTTATCAGATCTTGACTCCAGAGACCCAGGTTCAAATGATACTAACTGGGTAACCCAGAAACAGACACCTCCCTCCCTCATCTACCATGCAGGCTTATAGTGAGGATAAAGCAAGAGGCCCTGAATATATTGGAAGCAGGGTCGGATAAAAACAAAATGAAAGAAGTTACTGTCGGGGTTTCCTCATGCGCTTGCTGTGATAAGTATTTGCAACCCCAGGTGGACATAGTTTGGAGAACCAAGGGTGATGTAGTGTATAGTTTGATGCCCATCAAAGGGGCAATCTTTATCCTGTCTGTCTTTTCTGTCATCAAAACAGTTGTCTGCCCTTTGTCCTAATGCTTGATAAAGGTGAAGATGTGTACAAGTGAGTGGTCCGATTTTTATCTTAGGAAATACTGGACTAGGGCTCGTTTTCTAGAAGCACCAAAGACCTGTGTGTGTTTTTATCAGAGAGCACTGCTGTGTCTTTCCTTCTGCGGGAAGGGGAAACGTTAATAGCCACGGCGATGCAACCTCTGCTCTGCTCAGACCACCTGCAGAAGGTCCAAAGGTTCTGGCACGTGAAGCTTCTGGGCAGAGGTGGAAACCAAACACCCAGCGTGGCTGTCCATCATAAAGCATTGAGAAAGATTGCAGCAGCATTTGAAAACAGTAAATATAATTAGTAGGACTCGGGTATCAAATGGCACCAGTGCTGGGTCTATAAATTTTGCTGTAGGAGGCCAAAGTCTGCACTGCCGCTCTCCCCATCCGCCTCACTGCCGATTGTGATCTCCAAGAAATGTTTTGTTTTTTTAAAGTGCTGCCCAGTGCCTTTGAGAGCTCCTCCAAATGCTTTCTGCCACTCCACAAGTGCCAACAAAAGGGGGACCCTGGGAGAAGCGCCCAAGCTCAGCTTGGCCCCTGCATCATGATGACAGAGCCCTTCTCCACCAACAGCCCTGTCATAGCTCCAGTGAAAGCAGCCAATGTACTGCCAAGTAAGAAAGAAAAGGAACATACCAGTGACCTCTCCCAACAGTGGAGCAATTGCATCCCCTATTCATTAGGGATGGTCCCTATCTCCTGCTCTTTGTCAAATTGCTATCTCTGTTTTTGCCTTTCGTGGATGTCAGTTAAGAGAATTCATGTTCCTTGGGGGGCACTGAGGTGTGCTCTATGGTCAGTCTACTCCAGCTCATGTTGGTTGGCCCTTGACACCTTGCAGCTTAAAAGGTAAAGGTAAAGGGACCCCTGACCATTA